TTCCAAGCCTGTCAGAACTTTTTGAAAGACTTTGAAGATTTTTTTTTTAAATAGTTTTGTAGCCTATTTCAGTATCTCAAGCATCCTGAAGCAGGAACTCATCCTTCTTCTTCAACTGATTTTTCCATATCAGACAGCTCTTTGCCTGCAAGCCACATGGGTAACAATCCAAGTGAAGCTCAGCTGAAGCTGCTTCTCATTAACCTCTCCTTACAGCTATAGTTTAGCTGCACTCATTTAAAAGTTTAAACCACGTTTATGATGGCCTCGTACTTTGCAATTCAGGATCTGGAAAACCTGGGATGGTGATGGAGCTATGTTGTCTCATATTCTTAATAAATACTTGAGAAGTGAATGATTTTGAGAAACAGAGATGTAGGCTAGAATATAGGTAATGTTGATATCGGAGGTGATAAGTGTATGAAAAACAAGCTTATTACTGCAATTTCACTATTTTATGTGGCTTAGCATCATAAGATTGTTCTTGCAAAACCTTAGACATCATGTGTGACTTTTTTGGACGTTTTGATTGCTCTGGGGTATAGCATTCCACAATTTTGATATGAGTTTGAGTTCAATAACTGATTTGTAGACCAAGAAAAAAAAAATCTTTATGTAGCTGGCAATTATAAATTGCCTGTGCCAATAAATCAGATGATTTGTCTGTGGCAATATGTACTCTTCCTACTATTACCGTGCTCTTCCTCCGTTTTTCTTTTCTTTTTGTCTTGGTTGCCAAACTCCGTAAGGGAAAGGAACGAATTATTTTATACTTTTAAGAAGCATACCTGGAGGCAAGAGGCAACGCTATTATATGGCTAAGTTAAATTAATATGCAGTTATGAGCTTTTAAGTACAATGTTTCACTGAAATTAGTACTTTCTGAAAAATTTTGGCATGTTTGTTTGCTCAGTCTGTTGTATTCTAAGTGCTGTTTTGAACTAAATGATATTATTCTTAACATCCTCTGAAATATTCAAAACCAGCAAAGAAAAAAAACACAGCAGTTGCTAATGCACCTTATTGAAAATCATACTAGAAAGGAAAAATACCAACACAGCTGTCTTTTGATCCTGTTACGGGTAAGAAGTTGTTATGGTGCAGGTGATTGACAGGCTTTCCACAAGGCTAATAATTGCAGTGTGAGGTACTGCAAAGTGTCACCTTTGTTTTAGTGGCATGCTTTGTGGGCTAAGTGTAAACCCTGCGAGAATTCCTGAGGCCTTAGCCCTTCCTATAGAATATCCCCTGGAACACGAGTTCAATTTTGATCAAGTTTAATCCCTAGAGGTATAGTTTTACAATTCACAAGTCCTTCTTAAATGCGATTTAATTAGGCTTCTGAGAGGTTTGTTTTATAGAGAGCAGTATATAAAGTTTACTAGAGGCTTTTTTTCAGCCCCTTTGCGGTTTGTGCTTATTTACTGAACGTATCTGGAGAAATAGAATTAAATGTTGCAATTTGCCAGTTGAAATGTTCTTGGGATTTACGACGTGGGAACTGAAGGCAATTTTTAATGGCTTGTTTTTGTAAATTCACAGTAGCCTCAGTTCTGACAGTTAAATTAAAACATGTTTTTGACTAAACAAGAGTAAACTTCTGCAAAATGTCTGCACTTGACAGTCACTGGGTATGTGTAAGTAGAATTTGGGTGTGATCTGCCCTAGAAAGAACATGTAGCTTCTTTCATTACAGACTGTGCTTTTTTTGTGTGTGTGTGTTTTTAATCTCATCTAAAGTTCTCCGACACATGGAAGGACATAAAAAGCAAGAACGTTAATACATAGGTAACTATCAGGTATTTTACATGTATCAGCATAACAGTTAAATTAACTGTCCATGTCTTCCCCAGTGATCTGTCATGAAACTTAAATGGCCTGCTAAGAAGCTCTGGCCTTTGTTTCATTTAAACTGTTTGGTCGTAAGCTTTTTCTGACATCATATTAGTAGAGTGTACTTGTTTCTTTGTTCTGATTGTATTTCTAGGTTCCATGTTCCTGGGATAGAAAAGCCCCTGAATTATTTATCTCTTAAGCCAGAGGTCTAAAGGAGAAGGGTCTGCTATGTAGTCAATAGCATGGAATTGCAGGTCATTCTTTACAGAGTGTTATTACTGAGGAAAGGATTGATGATGCATTCTAGAAATTTTGCCTGGGACAAAGGTCAGCATAAATCCAGGGCAGATGATTAACGTGATACAGAAGGATGTGGCTCAAAATCATAAGCAGGGGTATTTAGGGGGAAGACAAAACATATAGAAATTTATCACCTTTGATAGTCAGTAAAGGTGTATTCAAGAGTGGTGCTGTGGTACACAGTGACACTTTGCAGAGAAGACTGTGGTGACACCTTGTTTCCTCCTCTTTGTCTGGAAAATACCTGTACTAACATTTTTTTTTAAGTCCCGTTCCTAGTGTTTCCATTTCATACTGACTGATGCCGTGTATGCCATCCAGTCTAAATGGCACTGAGAATTACCCAGATGCAGACCATTCATGCTCTGCTGGTCCTCACGAGGTTCTCATAGCAGCTGGATAAGTAGTTACCAAAAATACTTGCCTCTTTCAGAACTTCAGCAAAAATGTAAGCAGATAATTAGATAGGAAAATGCTATTTTTTGTTGTTATTGTTGTACGTGTTCCATTTGTTTTTTCTTGTTTGGTTCTGAATAGTTCAAAATAGATTTTGTCTGCTGCTGAATAATAACTAATTGCCTATTTCATGAATCTTGCTCAACGTACTAAGTACATGTCAACTTTTCTACAGAGCACGTATAGTGTCCAAACTTAGAGCGAATTTGTTTTGATATCTTGTCCAATTCTAAATCTGTACATTCCTGATTTTCAGCATTTTGCAATAATTCTTTAGTTATTACCATACACAGTTTTGGAATGTGAATTCCTTAAAAAAAAAAAAAGCCACAACCAAACACACAACACAGCAAACTTTAGATATCTAAAAGTCTGTCCTATTTCTGCATAAGTGGAAAGATTGCCTTTACTTCTTTGGGGGCAATATTTTCCTTTTTGAAAGCTGTCTGTCTAGCTTAACTATCTAAATGTTTAATCAGATGTTGTAGTGATGAAATCCATATGCATTAGTATATTTATATTAACAAGAAAGATATAGGGAGAGGGGGAATTGGCCCCTTTTTCTGTCTCCAAATACTCTGAATATGCTGCTGAAAAAAAAAAATCAAATTACTGATGGAAATTAGTCTTATTTTTTTTTTCTATAATATGGTAATATCTTAGTATTCCAGTTGCTGTGCATTTTAAATCAGTCTTTTGTAGTACCAGCATTGTCTTTAAATGAGGCATTTCAACTGCTTTGGTGTCCGTACTGTAAAATGTCTTCGCTGCTTCATTGAAGATTGTTCTGTAAGATTTCTTATTAGACTTAAATCCCTGCTACATCTGTAATAGGGTGTAACCACTGTACAGCTTGTGTCCTTTAGCCATTTCACGTGCCATCCACTTGCTACACATGAGAATATGGAGGTTCATGATGTATAGATTAGCATAGCTATACACTGTAATCAATGTAAGGATTTAAAGTTATTTTTCCCTTTCTTTGCAGTATTTTTATAGCTCATTTACATTGTTTTCTCAGCATTGTAGCTGAGGGATATCTGGGTTTTAAATTTATCAGTCTAGCTGTTAAGTGAGCACGACTGATCCCTGTATTTCTGCTACAAAGCCTGTAGCAGTTCTTTCAAGCAGAGGTGTCAGGAGGCCTTCATCACCTCTGCAACAGCATTTTGGCTCTCTTACTTTATTTAAAGTGTAGTGTTGGGCTCTGCAAATCTGTCTTTCAAGAGAGAAGTGTACTGGTAGAGCTGAACCAGAGTTTTTCGTAATTGTTTCTCCAGCCTGCTGGTGTGTGTCAGAGACTTCTGGAGCATAAAATCTTCACTGGCCACAGGAGGGCAGCAAAATCTGTTTGGATAACAAACTGTACCTGTGCCCTGGGACTAAGGAGTCACCCAAGAGAAAGAGACCATTTTTATGTGGCAGTTCTCAGCCCTGGAACCCCTGATCCCAAAGGTGGGGATGACCGGCTGGAAAACGTATTTTAAAACACTTTTACCTTCACATTAGATTTGATGCTTTAACTATTGAAACATTCATTGTGTTGCAGTCAGACTGAAAAGCTGTAAGTACAGAGCAGTGTCTGTTTTACTAGGTGCTGTGTAAACACACAGCCCAGTAGTGCCTTTTGTCTTGAGTGTTTTCAAGGCTAAGAAGAAAAGAGAACAGTTGAGCAGGGGGTGACAGGGGGCTAAAGTTGATCAGCTTCTGCTGGAGTTCTGTATTTTTTTGTGATACAGGAGACTGCTGGATTATACTTTCAAAACAAAGAGTAGCTCAATAGAAATTTCTGGGAGTTGTGTATGTTTAACATGAGAATTGTGCAAGATTTTTTTTATTTTTTTATTGATTAATAAATGCTGCCACAGTTCAAAAGCCAACGTCTTGGTAATTGAAAAAGATGATATGGAAAGACAACTATGGTCAGAATTCAGAGGAAAGGGAAATAGCTTGTTTGATAAGGTAGAAGAAAAAAGCAGACAAATAAAAAGGATGCAAAGAGGTGAATTTTTAAACAGCTTGATGCCTGTCTTTTTTTTTTTTTTTTTTTTTTGGTAGCAGTACTTTTCATTAGGAAGGGAAAGCAACAGTCAAAATGTGAAAGCGCTGCCTAGCCTATGCAAGTGTTTGAAAACGTTCCCCAGAATCAAGTCAAAAAAGTTTTTCTTTCCTCTCAATTGGACCTCTCACAACTTCTTTTCCTAGCACAATCCTGCTTCCAAAAAAGGAAACGTAGGCGCTGAGAAGTTGAGATCAGGAGATTAACTAGACGTGAAAAGTAAGGTATAGTTTCTGTGCTTGGGTACAAAAAAGACTGCAGCCCAAAGAACAATTGAAACTGAGGAGGAATTTGTCTTTCTTCTCTTCCTCTGTCACTAAACACTGCAAACAGACCAAAAGAATTCTTATGTTGTTCTCACTTAAATTTATTGACATTCATTCATATTTTGTTCTGGGGATAGATTCATTCAATAACAAAACATTATTTGTTATTGTTTTGGGAGGGAAAAAGCAGGGGAGTTGCTGGAAGTTGGAATGTTCCATAGATGATTTACATTATATTTTTCATAATGTTCTTCAGAGATCCTATTGAATTATTTGTAGATGCAGAGAAAAAGAACCCAGCCCCTTTACTTAGTTTGCAGCTTAGTCTTCTGACTTTGAGGTCAGCAATGGGGCATGAGAACAGGTGCTGTCATTTATAGTATTAGGCGTTTGTGGTTACCTTATTGTGAGGCTTTAAAAGCAATGTTAAAAAAATCTTATCCAAATGAGCAATTCCAGCACAGCTGTCGGTGTTTTAATTAGCAATCAATACTTCTGGCTGTTTGGTTTTCTTCTTTTAAGATCTTACTGAAGCATGGATGTGGGAGAGTAATTTGAAAGTTGGAGGGAACCTCCATTGCAGTCTACAAAGAGAAACGGTAAATGTCAGTGCCTGTTCTGAAATTTACTGTGGTTTTACATTGCCTGAACTAGTGACTGTTCTGATTCTAAGAGACACTTGCTGTGTTTCCATTAATTATATGAGCTAAATGACATAATTAAATTATCAAGCTCCACAGCAGAGCAGGAGCTAAAGAACTGTAGACTTAACTTTGCGAGTAAGAGACAGTTGTGTAAAAAGTTGTGAGGCTTGAATGAGACTTTATAACCTTTCACCCACCATTTTAGAAGGTTGTCCATCATCTGTTTAACAAGATTAACACATCAGGTTGTTAGATAACTGCTGTTAGGTGTCTATTCTTGCCTTGGAACTTTCCTTTTCATCCCTTTCTGTTAGATCCATTAGTGAAGTATTCAAAACCATGAGGAAAATGCAGTGCTGATGCCACTTAGTTGTTCTGGCATACCTAAATACACATCTTTATGCAGCAGACTGTATCATTTGAACTTAAAATAGCTGATAGACTTCTGGTGGCTTTTTTAGATTTCCTACATCAAAGTAAAAGAACGTAAACTTCAGAAAGCAATTTAAAAAGTTGTCAGACCATCACAGTTTTCTAAATCTGTAGTCTTTTATTTTGCTGGGCTCTGCATTAGATTCATGAAACTCTGTGTAAGAGAATTAAATATCCTTAATGATAAATATCCTTATTGCTAAGGCTATTGGTTGCTTCCAGAGTTTGTGACTGCCTAGATTTTAGGTCAATTCATAATGATCACACTAAATAACATGGATGTTTATTTTATGGTTATTAAACTGGAGAATTTTCTTCAGAAATGTGGGTAGACATGTTTTGAACAACCTTCTTTTGCAGCGTAAGAGTTTTGTGTGGTAGGGATGGGGGTGGAGGACCAACTCCTTTTAATAGGACCTTGCTGTTGAAGTACTGTCAAGTTTTGTGCACTTAGTGGATTTCTGTGAGTTCTGTATTGACATTTTATGATGAGTTTATGGATCATGACATATTTCATCATGGCAGTGCAATATCTTTGTGTATGTAAAACATACTTTGAAACTAATATTTCTGTTGGAAACACAGTAGTGTGTACACTCTTAAAGGTAAGCATTGTACAAGTGGCTGGACGTGCCTTCTTCATCCATCCCCCAGTCTACATCTTTTGTAGAATTCAGGTATAGGTTTTGTATCCAATCCATAAATCATTTGTGACAAAATATGAGGCAAGAAGGATTATTTTCTGTCTGTTGAGGTTGCTTATTGTTTCCATCTGCACTTGCAGTGGTTTTTAGATTTCCATGTAAGAAGCATGAACGTATTGCTTGATTTGGATACAGACCCACATTAGATAATGACAGGAGTTTCATTTTAGCTTTCCTGAAAGTGAGTTCTTAGGCTACAGTTGTGCACTTGAAGTTTTAATCAGCAATTTTGAGGAAGACAGCACTGCTATAAGTTCAGGAAAAAAATAACTAAACCTAATAGATTGGAGGAAAAAAAAAATATTTTTATGAGCAATTCATAATCTGTTCTTATGAATGGTCTTATACTTTCTAAGTTTTTAATTATATGGAGGAAAGACCAGGCTACTGTATGTTTAGTATTTTAGTGAAGGTGGTATTAATTATTTTGTACTTGAAATGAATTTTCTCCAGATGGTCTGGAATAGCTTCTGAAAAGTTAATTTTTGGTGCATGTCTCTTGTCAAATTTCTGGCATCTTTTCATAGCAATATCAAAAGGAATTCACATCCTTTAAAAACTTAAAATACTGAAAAGCAAAAGCAAGTAGGAAATTCAGCTGTTTGTAGAATTGTCTTGTAAGTGTAGAAAAATTGGAGAATAATCCCAATATTAAAATCAGTCAAATTAAGTCTTAAAAAGTAAAACCTGTCCCCTGTTGTGGAATGTTGATGAGAGAGAGGGAATGCGTGTGGGTGTTGTGCTGGCAGGTTCCTTCAAAAACTGTTGCAGATCTCTCACTGAGCTGTTGGTCATCGTGTTGATGCTTTTACTTGCTTCTCTAAGCATTGGGAGTAGACCAGGTAAGAAAGTATTCACTTAACAGTTCCACGAACTCACCCTACCTGGTATCTTCTGATGTGTCTGATTGTTGAAGTGCTCTTAAATCTGCTTCAAGTTTTTTGGATATCCCACTTGCAGATCTTTGCTGTATTCTTGCATTTTTAGTGATAAGAAACAAAACAATGTTCCCCTCCCAAAGAGTGGAGTACCTTTTAGCAGTACTAACTTAGAACTGTTCCAAGCACTTCCATAAAGGAATGGTAAGGTGGAAATTTATTTTTAACCTCAGCTTTCAGTTGCATTGCATGTTTTCTGCAATCCTCCTTTTGTTAGGATGAATAGACCGAAAAACATAAAAACGAACTCTTAAACTTCTCCGTGTTATACAAACGCTGCTTGCTGTCCTAGACTTTGGACCTGATATTTTGGAAGGCTCACTGAAAGTCAGCTGAATTCATAAGTGGTTCTAGGCTGTATATGTGACACCAAAGGCTGCATATGAAAGCTGGATGCTTCTTGAAAAAAGTGGAAAAACTGGAAAAAAAGTGCTGTTACTTGACTGTGACAGGTGTATTTTAGGCAAGAAAGAAGGAAATTTGTAGATATAACGCTTTGAATCATGGCCCATATTTCATTCCCGCTCTATAGTCATTTTGCTTAAAATTGTAGCTGTTTATATCATTCTTATGTTTCTATATCATCAACAGAATTTACTTGTATATGTGTTATCTGCTATCAAAGTGCATGTTTCAATGATGTTAATACGGATTTAGTATTTATAGTTCATTTTCCCTCATACAGGGAAAAGAGTGTTTTCCCAGTTTATAAGTCTTTTTTCAGAAGTAGTAACTATGAGAATGAACCAGGTTATCGCATATACATAAGAAAATCTGAGAAACCAGACTTGGTACAAAAGCTAAATTGTGTGGATTTTAATGAAAAAATTGACGTTAATATGGATAAAATTGCAATACCTGAAAATGGCTGTTCACAAATGATGTTGTTGAACGGAATTGAATTCTGAAAGTGGTACTTTTTCTCCTTACTGAGTGAAAGAGTGTAGTTTGTTCTGCATTGAGAAGTTAAATGAACTTTTTTGTTCTTAGTAGTCTATTATGAAGAGAATCCTACCAATCCTGAAAGGTTCCTTCTGTGTTCAGCAAAAAGGAAACGGTGATGAAGCAACAATGCTTACACCAAAGATGTTTGGTTAGTCATGTTAATTTAATTCTATATTTCATGGAACTGTGAGATTCACAGATTTTGCTGCATATGAAATGTCTTAAGTTTTCTTGTTCACAGTGAGCTCTCTGTTGTTGTTTTATGCATCTTCTTGAATGCATTGCTTTGAAGTATCCTCTGTTGAAAAGAGCACTGCAATGTACTTCTACAGTATACTGCTGCAGAACAGTCCAAGTCAATAAGTGTAAATTGTCTGAAATGGCCATTGGCATGCTAGTGTATCTGTGACAAATTAGCACACAAGTTGGAATTTTTGCTTAAATTCTGCTATGCTTGCTGTGATATGCTACCCTGAAACCTGACTTGGCTTGAAAGCTCGGTGCTATGGATAGAAAGTGTTACCTAGATTAAAACTTTCCAGTACAAGTTAAACATCATAAATAAAAACTAAAAAGAAAAAGGAAAAAAAGTGCTGTTTGAAGTCCTCAGGGTAATATTAGGTCAGTACTTTGTGTAGTGTGAGGAAGCTGCACTTTGGTGTGGTACTAGAAGTGTTCAAGCACGATTTAATAACTTGTTTAGCCTTGCCCTGATCTGGAATCCTTGGTTGTGCTTCATACTGCATGTACCCCTAATCAGTGTCCTTGTCCCAGAAGAGCTTGTTGTCTGGAGTCTGCCTGCCTTTCGTCCTCAGAGGGTCCGAGTCTGCCACTTCCTCCATATGTTGAGTTGCACTTAGATTTCACTTAGCTCATTTCCAGAGTAATTTCCTAAAGAAGAAAACAGAAGGTTGTAGAACTTGGCAGAGTTAGGGGTATCTTACTGCTAATATCAAGTCCTTCTTTACAGCGAGTATTGACCATCTGAAGAGACGTATGGCTAGTCTTTGTTAATCTCCCCTTCTTACTACTATCAGATTTTTTTTTTCCTTGGCAAACTATGAAAACCTTTTGAGCCCAACTCCGGACTGACATAGAATTGAGGAGGTGTCTAACTGCTTTTGGCATAAATTCAGTGGTATGACAGTCTTTGGAATAATGTGGTAGTGATGACTGTATCCCTGATCCCTGTAAATTACCAAGTCCAAGGTCATACAAAGGATGTGCATTGATTTTATTTATTTATTTATCTATTTAATAGAGTGTATGTATTAAGGCAACAGGTCTTCATTCTGTCTTTATTCAGGTAGTTGCAATTATTTGCAAGACAGTTAGAGAGATATGTCTGTACATATTGATTTAATATAACTGTGGGGATGTACATCCTTGCCATCGTGCATTGTTGCCTTTTTGTTTTTCCTGAAAGTCTTGATTAGATTTGGCATTGCAGTAGTTCGTGATGTTTGTGGCAGGAGGAGGAGATAGTGGTAGAAGAGAAGGAGATAGATTCATTTATGTATATATTTTTTATACAATGAAATAAAAACAAAAGCACCACAAGAAACATTTGTAACATTCATCTTAATTTCTTTTCCTGTTTGCTTTGTGGAGTGAAATTGTTGTGTTCTTCCTCTAGTTTTGCAGCATCTGAAATGCTTTACACTGTCAGTACCTTAAAATCTATTCGGATGAATGGGTTGTTGCAGCATGATTGTTCCTTGGCATTTTTTTTTTGTTTGTTTGTTTCTTTCATCAGAGCTCTTTCACAAATCTCTTCCAGAAAAGGGAGTATCCTTAATTGTATCCTTTTATCTCAGATGTTTATGTTGCTGCTGTTACTGTGGTTATCTAGTTTACAGTTTCTCAGCTGTTCCAAGTCAGAGCAGACTTTTGACATGGCACAGCGGTAATACTCATGTAACAGCTGAGGCACTGGGCTTAGCTGATCTGCCTAAGTAGGTCCACAGCAGAAAAGTGCAATAGCCTGAATCTCAACTCTGTTTCCATGCTGTTGTCCTAGCCAAAGGCTGTCTTCTTATGCTCAAATAAAGTTGAAACTTTAGGTGTGATTTGTAGTAATGCAAGCATGAATACATCTTAATCATGCAGGACTCTGAATATCATGGCTGAGCTGGATTGTGGGTTTTAACTGTTTCTGAAATAGTATTTCTTGTCCCTTCTCCCCGTTTTCTCACCTTTAAAGCTTAGGGGAAGGAGGAAGAAACGATAACATATAGTCAGCCCTGCTTTAACTGTAGTCCAGAAACTTGTTACTAACCAACGTGGTATTGTATTGAGAAAGCATGAAGAACTTTTAGTACCAAAGTGTATCTCAAGATGTTTATGACATGCTTTAAAATAGTTATGTTTGTTGTTCAGTACATATGGATGTTTCTTATTTATCATGGAAATAAAAAAATAGACAAGTACTGTCAAAGGTCTTGTAGCCAGAGGGATTCTAGAGTTATTTTTTCCTGTGCAACCTTTAGAATCAAGACAAAAGGTTAAGAAAGACTGCTTACCCTTGAGCAACTTCTGAATTTATACTTGTAGCTGATTTGGTCATGTACTTGAACCATGAAGTAGCTGCACAGCTTTTCTGTGTGTACTAATCCTGAAGTTATTTGCATTCTTTCGCAGTTTCTCTAGTGGGCTGGAAGTAAGCAAAAATAAATATCACTGTGCTTCGAGTGTAGGAAATGTGGTAGCAAATGCCAAGTTTTAAACCCAGGTCTTGTTACTTCGGGCTGGTAATTTCAAATAAATAAATAAATTTGTTAATCAATAACCAAAAACATATTTCAAATTTATGTGTTTATGTGAAGTAACCATAGCCTCTGCTAGGCATGCATTGGTTTTGAGGAGTTTTGACAATGAACATAAATGTTTGTTCATACGGTTTCTTTTAGTTTGTCTGATCTATAATGTGAAAGCCAATATAAATTGCTACTCAAAATTTGTCATTGTCCATATATTCTGTAATTTATTTTCAGAGCACAACCTATTGATGTGCAATTTTTGTGAAACAAGTTGGTTGTGAAGCATGCCGTAATTTCTTCACTCCAATTTCAGTCTTTTTTGAAAGACTGGAAATGAGTTATTAATTAAAATAATCTGTTACTCTTAAAAAGAAGAAAAAAAGAGTAAACCCAATATGAGCTGACAGAACAATTCTTAATCCTGTGTTCTATGCTTTTCAAAAAACATCTGCCAAATGTTTTACTTTCCATCGTATCTGCAGCACGTATTTGACATTCCTCCTCTTCTACTTGTTACCGGATGCTTTGGCCCAGTCATGATCCTACTTGATGGATATTAGAATTATGAGTTCTCTGTAATTTATTTTAGATGAAGCTAAAAATAAATCATATCTTCAAGGATTTTTTTTTTAACATTTTAAATCCTGGTTGCTTTGTAAACAAACATTAGATGATATTCTTCCTATATTTGCATCCCCCAAGCTTTTCTTGTTTTATGGTTCAAGCATCCTTTTTACATCTCTCTCTATATTTTTAACTGTGGCATAAGATTATAGCTGCAGACAAATCCTGCTTGTCAGGAGCAAGTAGAGCACATGGCAGACATTAATGAATGCTGAACTCCTACTAGAGCCTTAATGTCAGAAATTTTGTTTAAAAATTGGTTTGTAGTCATTGTAATGCCAGACAGTGGGGCTGAAAATCACCGGAGTAACTTTCCTCAAAACACATTGGTTGTTTGTGGATTCAGCATCACCTGTCTCGTTGCTGAATTTGGAACATACAGGTCAACACAAATGTGTGTTCGTGTTTGTATTGTCAGAGATACGAGCAGGTTTTACACTGTATTTTATCCTGAAGATCCTGCAAGGATAAGTTAATCTCTAATAATTAGCTGATATCTCAAATCTAGTTCAAGGCATTTTATGATCAGGGCTTTTTTCTTTTTGCATATGTTGTTCAGCCTTTTGATAAATACCATAAGGAAATACTTCCTTATTTTCTTAAGTCATTTCTTAACCTATTAAAAAAAGATATAAGGAAACTTCCTATTGGCTTTGTTTGTTTTTAGTAAATTTTATTCTAACAGTGACTTGCAGAGCTTATTTTTCCCTACTGCGACCATGTGTCTAGCTTATTTAAATGTATGAGTAGTCCTTTTGAGGTCATGTGTAAAAACTGAGCAATAAGAACTTTTAGTAGAATCACTGCTTCAGTTTTATGATGTTCATTAACGTGTTTCAGTTAGTTGCTACTGCTCAAGTTGCTGTTGTGTAACGTAAACAAGGCCACTGAAATAAATTTTAAGATTCTTTATCATATTCTTTCAGTTTTGTATCACAAATGTGCTGTATAGTAGAGTGTTCTGTAGACAGTATAAATTTCTACTTTGATTTAACCTCTCCATGTGTCAGAGAGGGAAAGAACATAGTGCTCAATTCATTTTTTTTTCAATTACTTTTTTGAAGGATTTTCAGCAATAATTAATAAAACAAACAAACAAAAAACACAATAACAACTAATGAAACACAATAACAACCCTGTAATCTCTTAGTCATAGACTCAGAACGGTTTTATGGGGAAGTCAAATCTGTAGGAATAAGTTCTGTAGCCCATTCATAAGACATCTATCTGTTGCTGCTTGAATAAAACTGGAATCATATTTCATGATTATATTTTTAACAAATGGCTCACGGTAAGAAAATGCACGCTTATCTCCTTTTACTCCTCTTGGAGTAAAAGGGAATGGCGATGTACATTGGCATAACAGACTTTAATTTATGTGAAGTATTTCAAACTTTTCTTCACAATATAAAGATGATAAGAAATGAAATCAAAGTACTACAAGTAGTAAGTCTTCCTGGTTTTAGAAATGTATTTTATTTTGCTTGGCTTTTCTAAGATTGTAGTTGTTCTGAGTTCTTTTAAAAAGGAACTTGTTCTTTCCTGCGTGTAGATTTCAATTCTATTTGGAACATTATAGTAATGTAGTTCTCAGAGTGATTGTGCAAAGTATTTTTAATGTTTTTCTTATGTTGGATAGGAACTATTTTAATTGGATCAACAGAGTGATAATCACTTAATTCTTTTTTTTAAATGTGGATTTTCCCAGAGATAGATGTTCTTGGAGATGGGATTAACTGGTTCAGCAAAAACAATCAGGAGATTAAATAGGTCCCAATTACAGTGGCACAAACAAGCCAATTACGTGAGACTAAAAAGCATTTTTAGGGTTTCCCCTGGCAATTGCATCTAGTAATCAATGGCCTTCATCTTCTAACTTGCTGTACTCTTCCAAAGTTCCGTTGTCTTTGGTGTATCTCATTTGGAAATATTTTCCTTTGTTCTACATTCAGGCTAGGACCCACAGTAGCTGGAGTAGAAAGCCATGCTCTGCTTTGTATGAATACCTACATTCTGATACCCCAAGTTTTTGTCATCCACTAGATCAGGTTGCCCAGGGCCCCATCCAAGCTGGCCCTGAATAATGTAATCGTGCCCTGGAAATCAGTATTGTTTGGTGCATGGGTCAACCTTCAGCAAAGGTGGCTGTACAAAAACATGTGAAACAGCTGCCAGGAGCAGAGATTTCTTAATATAGAATTCCTGTTTTAAACAGAAAAACTATACAGTATACCAAATGGGAAAAAATTTAGATGTTATTGTGAAGATTCTTGAAGCTTCCTGTGAACACTAAGGGGTCAGTCTATTTGTACTCATAGCAGATATATATTTTAATGAAGCCAGAAATAAAGCTGATATTATAAAAGAAACTTCGTGGGTCCCAGTATTTTGATGGGATGTATTTTTATTGCCATTAATTTAATTGTTAAAACACTTTAAAAAGACTCATTTAATACCAGTTTCAGAGAAAAAGGTAAAAAGTTATCAGTCTTCCCTAGGTTAATAACCCTTTTATCATCATTGGTGGATCTGAGGAAATACTTCAGTCTTCAACTGTTTTCATGTTAAGGTACTACAGATAACCAGCACTCAAGAATCTAAAGAGATAAATTTATTTTAAACACAGAAAAGATGCTGATGATTCAAAATAACAGAGGAAAGGGATTGAAAGTAATGAAAGAAGGTGATTGCTTTCCCTGTTTAAACAGATCAGAGAGCATGATAATGTTAAAAAAAATTAAGAAAGTAGGAGTGAGTAGAGGCTGTTGATGAAATAACTCCCCTAAAATTCTTTAAAACAGGAACAAAAAAGTCAGAACACATGATTAGCTTTCAAAAGAGTTTGGGTATCTATCGTTAAGTGCACAGATTGTAAGGAGTGAATAATCTGTAGCCAGATTCTCAACATAGTTTAAAATAAAGTGTTAAGATTATTTGGATGTCTAAATGAGGGGAAAACTCTTTTGAAGGTTATGGTATTCAGAAGTGCTGTCACTTCTGAATAATCACAAAGAATAAATCAATACAGAAAATGGGAGGTGGCTTTTTGGCATTGTTCAGTCAGCAGAACTTCCCATTAACCAAATGTCACTTGAATAAATGTTTGTCCTAAAAAACAGACTCAGATTTGATTGCAAAGAGACTGACTGATCTAAATGGGAACTAAAATTACTGTATGGCAAACTGTGAAACAATAAAGCTTGGTTTAAGGTTGCTCTAAGCATGTATGTCTGTGCAGCAGAGCTTTGAAAGCCCAATTTGTAATTGCATTCCCTAGGCCATATCTCTAGATTAAGCCCTTGAATTGCTTTTATAGGTTGTTTTAGGCATTTCTTTATAAATACAGTTCAAGCCAGCTATGTATTTCTGCTTTGTTTTTGTTTCATCTGTTTTTACTGTGTTGACAGTTTGCCTGGCAGTCTTTACAGCTTTAAATGCTGTTTCAAAAGATGTTTATTGGTTAAGCTTACTTAAGTTGTGTCATGGGTTATTAGAAATAATTTATAGAAGAAGTGAATAGATTCGGAAAATCATTGTATATATTTATTGGAAACCATTATACAAATCTAAACTTGGAAATGTTTTCTCTGGATAGGTAGCAGAAATATGTGGGAGTAAATGTTTGCTACTGAAGTTATACTTCACAATATTTATGTTCACAGAATCATAGACTATCCCAAGTTGGAAGGGACCCACAAAGATCAGAGTCCAACTCATGAATAATTTCTTCTTTAGAAATATGAGGTATGTAAGAATTAAAAGTGCTTCACTGAATTGCTTCAAATAAAGCTGAGCCCTGTATAGTTGAGCCTTGAATGCAAGGTCTAATGCTTATATGAGAGCAAGGGAACATTACTTATCTTAGTCACTTCAGTTTAATGTGTTAAATTACTAAGTAGAAAAAAAAAAAAAGTATTAAGGTCCTGGTCTCACAGACATTCTCCTGTGAAAAATCTTTTCACATTTCTGTATATTAATCAGTACATAGTAGTTTGTAAACAGGTGCTTTGATAAACTCTTTATCTCTACATACATGCTTCTACATACAGACATTTTTGTCATACTATAAGAAAAAAACAAGCATTTTTCTTATAGTTGCAGTGTAATTCACTGGTTGTTCTGGCCTTGTGCCTTTTCAGTTTGGTTTACTCAAGAAGTTGCTAAATCTAAATAAAATAGTCCCGGTAAAATAATACCAAAATAATCCAACTCTTGTAACAGAAGTGCCCATTCAAAGGATTATATCTGTGTAACAGTATTGATCTGATCAATGACACTTTCCTCTGTAGGTTGGGCTTTGTGCCATGCTGTGTCTGTAGTAGTTACTGTCAGACAGTTTTATGTCCTTGGCCTTGAGGGGACTGCTCACGATGTCTATTTACATCATTCTCCTTTCAATGCTTGCTTTGTGTTTTGTATACAAGGGCAGAGGCATTTGGAGAATTAGTCTCAGAAATATCATGGGAGCATGTGATATTAAATGTGATACACCTTAAAGGAGGCTTTAGTGAGGTGGGCATTGGTCTCTTCTCCCAAGCACCAAGTGACGGGACAAGAGGAAATGGCCTTAATTTGCTCCAGGGGAAGTTTAGGTTGGATTTAGGAACCCTTTCTTCACCAAAAGGGTTGTGAAGACTGCCCAGGGAAGTGGTTCAGTCACCATCCCTGGAGGTATTCAGAAGATGTATAGATGTAGAGCTTAGTGACATGGTTTTAATGGTAGACTTGGCAGTGCTAGGTTAAAGGTTGGGCTAGATGATCTTAGAGTTTTTTTCCAAACAAAATGCTCCCATAGATGTCCATGCAGAAGTAAAGTGTCCCTATGCTACGGCAGCTTTTTTAACGCTTACGTTGCCATCACTCTGGATTTTTTTCTTGATCTTAGCTGTGATAGTGGGGGCATGGTTGAGGCTGAATGTTCTGAGTAGTTTGTATTCTTGTCTTTCTGACAAAAATGTGACTTGGTTTCCTTGATTCAAATAGTTATAAGTAGCTGGATATTATGTTATTGACTGTATTAGATCAATATTTGATGGCTGCTTCCCTGAGAAAATAAAAACTTAATAATTTAACGTTGTATATAAAGGAAGAAATTCTAAGGAGGAAGTGGTGCCCAAATGGCTTTACTTTTGTATAATTTATCAGTATGTCTTTAAAAGTTAAATAACTTCAAATAGTATCTTTTATTTGCCACTTATATATAGTGACTTTTGAGGGTCTTCATGTGTAAATGATGCAAAGTATTGCCACAGTTATCAGAAATATGTATATACACACATTATATATATATATAAAGATTTAATGTCAAAGAATTAGTTTCTTAGCAGAGGCACTGCTGAGCCATTCTTTTAAGACCTGGCTTGGCTTGACCAGCTGTTGATGATAGCTCTAATTTGAGCAGGAGGTTGTACCAGAAGATCTCCAGAGGTCTCTTCCAAAAAGTTTTTGCTGTGATGATTTGTTGTGCTCTTTTCTTGGTGCATTTTACAGCCTTTGACTCCTTTGACACTCTACCAACTTATAAAGTTTGTATGAGTGTACCATTTTCTACACAACTCCCTGCAAAGATTTGCCTGTTTTTCAAATGTTTTAGTTTTATATTCTATACTGCTCTTGAACTATGTCACACTTTTGTTATTTTCATCATACGTGTTTTGTTCAGTAAGGCAGATGTTTTGGTGAACCTGCCTTCTGGCAATTAGTTGGAGATATGTTTTCTTTTAAAGTTTTTGAAGGCAGATGTTACCTTAGCTTGGGTCTTTGTTTAGTTGACTGAAGTCTGAGTTGATGAGTTTCTGCTGGAAAGGAGTTTATAATTTTTTTAGTTTCTGTTGGCTTCAGATCAAGTCCTAACGTATTTATAGAAATTCAGCAAGCTGTTTGAGTGCCTACAGTCCATGCTATCCACATTCTCTGTCTCCTTCCATCACCTTAAAACCCTTTGTCTCATTTTGTTCAAGTCTAATAAAGTAATTAAAATGCATCGGGATAGAGGAAAGGAACGCACTGATGTTTGCACTTCTGCAAAGAATGCGGTGTTGACAGGAAGAGCAGGAAGATGCTATCATACGTTTCCTCCTCTAAATTAATTAATACAGAGTTTCCATGCTGAAGATAAGTTTATGGATGACCTTAGTGTTTAGTTTGATGGCCTTAAGTTTGGTGATAGTTTGTACAGTAAACAGACATGACGTCTGAAGTTAAGCTGAAAGTCCTACTGTTTGTCCAACAGCCAGCTGGTCAGAGTTGCTTGCTACACAAGGGCCAAATGAATCATGTCTTTGTTTCCTGATGTTCTTTAAAAGTAAGGCCTAGGGGATTGTAGTAGACTACTGGGCTGGTGCCCACAGTTTCATTAACTTCTTTTTCCATTTAAATTGCGGTCTCCGTTTCAAAGGTGGTTGAAGGGATTTATGGATTTTCCTGGCTATTTGCTTTCATAAACTATGAAAGAATAATACAGAAGGCCACCCTGAAAAAGCTGCTTAACACACAAATAAATGGAGTTGTTTTTTGTCACTAGAATCATTGGTTGGGCAGGAAGTGCCTGTTGCAAACATTCATTGCCTTGGAAGCTTATTTTGCTGTTGCTTTGGATTTTAGGAAAATGAGTTAACTGTGACAGCCTTTGCAAACTGGAGTTGCATTTGTCCCATTTAAAATCAGTAGGGAAGGACTCTTTTTGCTCATTTGTCAATGAGGAAAATCTCAAATCTCAATTTTGGCATTTATGCTTGTATCGGAGAACTTAGTTCTTCAGCAGGGTTTCTGAAGTGATCTTACACTGGATTAACTGGAGTTAAAATATTTTCTATTGTTAGACAGCTTTCTGAATTGATATACCCAAATTGTCTGAGTTTAACTGGTATTTTACATTTGCTCTGAAAATCTTCTAAGGATGAATCTATTTGTGAATAAATGCTATGTAGCATAGCCCACGACTTCTATGTTAATAGAGAGGCATTTTTCCTTATGTGTAGTACTTCCAAAATGCATTAAAATGTAAAGTGTTACTGTCTGCATGTTGGTTACCACTTGGGAGAAACATTTTTCCCCCCTCCCCGCAGGATGGTTTAATGTCATAATCCTTTTATCATCAAGTGCTCAGTAAATAGTATTTGTCACTAATGAACTTCCATTGTTTAGCCAGGTGTTATCTCTACAACTATGCAAATCCAGACGATACAGAGCTTCCCAAAGGCAATGCTGACAGTGCTGAAGGAGGTGTCAATTCTGACCCAGGTTGGTTACCAAGAGTACCACAATGATATGGAAGGGGATGTGGTATGCTGCTTGCAAAGCTGTGCAGCTGGCATTTGGTGACAAGAGCTTAGTCACGGCTAAAGGACTGGCATCTCCACCTGCTTTTGGTGTGCCTACTTTGAGCTCTTTATGTGAGAAAGGAGTGGAGGGAAAAGGCTATGGAAAGAGAAGTGCTAATTGAAAAACACTTCTTATTTATTTTTTCCCCACAGTCTGTCAGATGTATTTCTTACAACAGTTTATTTCTTATAGAGTGTGGTTCTGGAGGTTATACAAATCTGAATGCTGACGGTCAGTATTTACAGGCTGGCAACCTGGCTAAAGCGAATACTAACATTAGACACCAGAAATTCAAAGAACACTTATCCAAATCTGATGATCTACTTTAAAGCTGTATAGAAAACATTCTAATTATGTAGTTAGTCAATGAATTTAATTGTGCTTACTGTCTGACCTGAAGATCATTTTGTCTTTTTTTCCCCAAACTGGGCTAAGTAAAATGAAGTTGAAAAAAAAAAAAAAAAAGAAATGAAAGGAGAACAGTTAAGTGGTCAAGCAGTTACAATTACTGAATTAAAACCTTATGATGGAGTAGTGTAATTCCTGTATTTCCTATGAACTCTTGAATGTTTTTTTTCAGCCCTTTTAACTAACATAAACCACATGAACACCCAGAGGCATTCATTTTATGCGGTAAAATGGATTGAATTTACTAAAATTTTCATAAATTCCAGATTTATGTAGGATCAAGCTATAAGAGCCATGATAATTGCAGTGTAGATAAGACAAGGTAGAAATATAAATTTGACCTTTCCACGTGCAACTAGAATGGCTTATTTAGGATTCAGATCCAGTTGTTTTGAAATGTGGTTGCTTGTTTATTAAAATGTCAATGAGTTATGAATTGGCCATCAAACCCTTTGCAGTACGGGAAATTCCTTATCAGGATAAGTGTTTTGGAGGGATTCCTAGAGATGTTAACCCCTGTCCAGTAAACAGGCATGATGTGTAAAGTTGAGCTAAAAGTAATGCTCTTTGTCCAGCAGCCAGCTGTTCGGAATTGCTTGCTGCAAAGAGGCCAAATGAATCACGTCTGTCTCTTAAACCAACTTTTCCTGTTTCTGAATTAGTACTTCAGGCTTTCTCCTCTTAGAGATAGGCAAATCAATGACGAGCATCCAAATAATATTTATTTGCTTATTTAGAAGCTGTGGTGGTAATTAATGAGACAAGAGATATCAGAAAGTGTCTTTCAGTCTATGCTTCACGTACCTGTCTGTGTTTCACTGCTCCCTAAGTGGCACAGAGCCACTTAGCTCTTACCTTTTCCAATATTCAGCATAAGGAGCTCAGAGAGGGCGATCCGCTGTGTTCCTGCGTGCACCGTGACTAGGCTGCTACTTAACATCCAAGAGTTGGCTCCCTGGAGGCAAGATCCTGCAGAACAGCTGTGAGGCTGAACGGCAGGGGCTTCTGGCCTTTGTTCTGCCCTCAGCAGGGGCCCTTCTCTGCTTCCTGCTGGGGAAGCAGCTCTCCAGTTTCTGCTAGAGACAGCCACTCTTAGCCCCTGCTGAGCACTGAATTCAGCAGGAATTAGCAGCTCCCCCTTCTCAGCAAGACAGCAGCTGTCAATCAGGATATTAAGCTTGCAATAGATAAAGATACCGCTTGATTGTTGTTTTATTGTCAGGCAGTGATGACTTAATCTGGAGAAATTTTGCAGAAAGCAAGCAGCCCCTATCTTGTAAGTCTAGATGTTGCTGAGATTTGATATTATATTTTGTGTAGGCAAACCAGCATTCCTTTTGAGGTTAGAGACCTATTTACACTATTAAGCAGAGTTTGCTTTGCCCATTCCTCTATTCTCCCCTGTAAGTTTTATCATCTTTGAGTTCAGGGTTTGTACCGCTGCGCTTTTCTTGCTTGTCACGTCTCTTACACAAGGTCTCTGCTGTAAGTGATAGGTGGGTTTAGACAGGCGAGGAGTGGAAGGTAAAGGCAAAAGGGCTGACAGCTTAGGAGTAGTAAGAGAATGGAAAAAGAAAGCAGCAACAGGGGAGGCACGGTGAGGACAGAAGAAATGTGATAAAATGAGATGCTGCATGATGTGAGCAGGTGAGTTGAAGACACTAGGGAAGGTAAAGGGGTAAGGAAAAAAAAATCTGAGGAAAGGTGGGTAAAGGGGAGACCATTTGGTGGAAGTGACGTTCAGTAACGGGCAGAGGAAGGAGGGAAAGACAGTGGAAGTTAAAATATGAAATGAGTGAGTAGAGTAAACAGAGGAGATGTAGTTAGTGCAAATAACCTGCATGTCACATGCTGTATATAAGGTGCATAGAACTGGCACACAAACAGTTGTTTCAGTGTGTTTGCCCCTGCTAATGTTAGTTTGGTTTGGTTGTCATCATCAACAATTTTGTTTTTTAGCTTCAGACTGTGCTGTTGTCATGCACAACCTTGGACAGTTTTGTAACCTTTACAGCATAAAAATTAGGATGTTCTTTTTTTTTTTTTAAAAAAAAGTGTTTTTTCTTCTATTGCTTTTACTCCTAGGGGCAGTAGTAGGTTGATTTTGCTTGTTTCCTAACGTTGCTGCTATTGCTGTTACCAGTGAAACACTTCTGGCCTTCCATATAAGCAGCAGTCAAGTTGTGGGTTGTACAAATTTATATAGGATAGTACTTACCTGGTTAATGCTGTTTATGCCTCAAATATGAACCATCCTGCTCTTTTCCTATCACTGAAGGCAGTAAGCTGCTGTTAACTTATTAGGGAAGCTAATAAGGTCATCCAATAATTTCAAAGAATAATATTTTCTTAATAGATCTAATCAAGGTAATACCAAATTATTGAACTGTTTTTGTTGTTCCTTCAGTGAAAAATTACACAGCAGCATTCCTGGTCTTGTCAGATACTAGTCTATACTTAAGAACAGGAAAAGAAAAGTTGAATATACTTGATATTAAGTTAGCTAAACCTGGTGTGGATTCATGACAGCTTGGTAGGGAAGCATGAGGTTTATACACTGTTAAGTAGGGCATGATTACTGCGTAGGTTTTGTATACATACAGATGCATTTCACCGTAAGTATGAGAGTATTAAAAGCGTATTTTCTTGCAACTACTTTTTTTTTGGTCCAGATCAGCAACGCCATTTGATGCAGAATGTTCTGCCGGTGGTTGAAGTTGGAAAAGAAAAGAACAGCCGAGTGTATTGCTCTCAAGACTGGCAATTTGTTTACAGCAGAGGTAGCTTATGCCATGGGCTCTGAATTTTCTTCTTAAAAAGGAGAATTAAATTAAAAGGTTTAAGAAGTAGAAATAATTGAAGAGCTTAGGTGTCTTTAAGTTTTATTTTTATTTGATTACTCTGTCACAGAGCTGTTACACTTACTTGTAAGGGCATTTGAATGTGAACGTTTTGTAGCTGTTTAGCATAACATTTGGAATACTTCCATTATTTTTTAAACCAAAAATCAACTAATAAGTCTTATATATGTGTAGTTTTTCAGTATTAGTTACTTCTGCTTGCCTGCTTGCTTGAACATGTTATTGCAGGTCCCAGTAGTTTATGGGTCTCTCTTTTAAAAAGTTTGCTTTCTTTCCTAGAGCATAAGCTGATTAAAAACTAATACCGTTCTCAGTATTTAGAAGAAATGTGCCGCGGAGGGATTATTTATGACTTTGGAACTACTGTGACATGCATGTTCAATTTTGAGTAACCCCTGCACACGCAAGTTTATGGATTACTTGGTTTGTTAACTTGTACAATCCTGGTTGTAGGACCCTACAAAACTTAGGCAAATAAGAAGAGAGATGGACACCATCTTGATATGAAAGTTGCATACCCGAGTCACTTAATTTCCTTCTGATCATATTTGCCTAGATGTAAATTTAAAGTAAGGCTGTTACAATGGGGAAAGGGGAGAAAAGGAAGTGGAGGAAGGGTAAATGCCGTGCATCTTCTCACAGTTGTGTCATGACACAGTGTTTGGCATCTTCCTTAAAATCCTATGGTTGTATAAAATTGCCTGCTTTCATTTTAAAACAAAGCAATTTCCTAACCTCTGGGATTCTGGAAAAATAGCTTGGAAAATACGAATCTTAAGGCTTCAGAATGAGTAAACAGATGAGCAGAGTGAACAGTCAGCTAGCTTAAATATGTAGTAGCTCACCATTTCAGAACTGCCCTAGTGTTTTGGGAGAGGCAGTGATACTTGGTGTTTCTAAAGCATGCTGTTGGCAATGTTATAGTATGAAAAACTTAGCAGTAAGCATGGTTCTAACAAGTACATACTAGTGTGGATAACATTCATTAATTTGAGTATATCTAGAGCCTTCATAATCCCGTATAAAATAGTTTTTGAACAGCGTAAATCCTAGATAAGATGTGTAAAATGTTAGCTGTCTGTGTCTGGATTCCTTTTAGTTGAATGCTCAGGGCATTTTAAATAGGCATTTAATAGGGCATTTAGTTTTAAATATACCAACTCACACACAAAAAACCACAACACCAACAAAAACACACATGCACACACACAACTTTTATAAATAGAACTGCTACGTGCAGGGAGAGCCCTGCATTAATTTTCATTTCATTTTACTGACATCTGTTGACCTATATATATCTAAAAACTTCATATAAATATTATTTTTTTTATGCCTGAAAGGATAAAACTGTTTTACAAAGCTTGCCTTAATAAAGAGCAGATAGGTTAGTGCGATTAGGAGGAAGGTGCTCTTATCTAAAAACCAATAAAATGTTCTTGTGGAGTTCAGCTGCCTTTCCTGTCCTTGTTACTGCCCTCTATCTAAATATTTTAAACTATGCTTTGTTGCCTTCTCTTCTCTTACTCTCTTGACTGTAGCTAAAACATCACCACGCTTGATCATAAAAGCCTTTCTATAGTGGAAAAATGATGTACGCTCTGAGGTTATCTGTTCTGGCCTCGTCTGTTGACTGGAAGTGCAAGCTATGCATTATCCAGGAGGATAGTTTGTAGACCTTATTTGTGACATTTGGGTTTGATGTTGGTTTTTCGTGTTTGGTTTGGTTTGTTTTCCAGTGAATGCTGAGGGCCCTGTTGTACACGCATTAGTTACCTTCGTGAATGCTGTTAGTTCTCACGGACCTGCCAGGGACATTCAAGCCTGCAAAGTCTGGGCTTTGCAGAATGAAGAGTGACACTTTGTAAGCTGCACAGCACAGACCAGGTATCTATTCATGACAGTAGCTAGACTCTGGGCAACGAGTACTGATTTTTGTCAACCTATTAGTCTCATCCTTCTCGGAAGTTTAAAAAACAAACACACACAAAAAAACCCGACAGCTTTCCTGAAAAGCTGATTACTGTTGTGATGAACTGCAAAAGCAGAGACACAAAGTAACAATGAAAATATCCAAGATCTGATAGGAAAAGTTAAATAAACAGCATGCCAAGACTACCTAATTGCAATTCTCTTCCTTTTAACATGGATTGCTGCCTTTAGGAATGCATGAAGGTGCTGAAGCAGCATATATACCTCTTATATCTTTTAAAAAGAAAGCACTGACATGCCCTGTTACCAGCAAGTAAAGGCATGCAAGTCTTACGGGGTGTTTCCAAACTTCATAGATCCAGAGTATGTTTTGATAAACATTCACTTGGGACAAAAATAAAAGGGGCAAAAAAACCCACAACCTTCATCAGCACTGGCTGCTGATTACTTCTGTTGATTAAAACAAAAACAAAAAACACTCTGGGCAGTGGGATGACTTTGTGTGTTCTAAACAGGCATATTGAAGAACAAGTTAATTTATAAAATGTTAATAGTAAAAATAGAGGAAAATGAGTTTTTCTTCCATTGCAACCTGATCTGCAGTAAAGTGCTCCCCCTGAATCCTTTAGTTCGTAACTTATTTTTCCAAGTGGGAATGGAGAGGGAGTTCAGAAATGAAGGTGAGGTGTGTAAAACAGCAATAAAAACTCAGTTTTTCAATGAATATTACTAGTTCTTATTATTCACTCACTCTCTCTTTTGCTTGTCTGTGGTAAAGAAGTTCCTAGGACATTTCCTGGTAGGATTAATGCATTAAAATTCTGATGCCGAATTAAGGGCAGCGTGCAGTTAGAGTCAGATTTTATTTTTATGTTTAAATTTTATAACTTGACCCAACTCAGTTAACTTTTGAAATTAAATCAGTGGGAACACTATTTGAAGAGGAAATCAAGTTAAGCCTATGCAGGAAATCCAAGCCGAAAAGGCATGAGACAGTGGAGTATTTCTAGTGTACCTCTGTTAACCAGTGTTGAATGTCTACGTTATTTTTGTTTAAAGTATAATGCCTATATATAAATATCACACACATACATGTATCCAGCGTGTGGTAAGAAAAAAACAGAATAACAATTTCCATATGTTTATGTTGGGAAGAGCAAATGAGTCAATATTAACCCCAAGCTATCTGATCTTATATCTGATTGAACACAAGGTTTAACCTCTGAACAAGCAAGATAAATGAAATATAATAGAATGGACTTATATTTTTCTGAGAATTAAAAAAGCAACAGATTATGTTCCATCCTTGCATAGAGAAGTGCTATAAACCTTATGCTTTACTAACATTTTGTATCAAAAGCTGTTCAGTGCATAAGTTTTCAGCTCAGCTGCAATCTCCATTTTGGCTGTACCTTACAATTCTCTTCTGTTATCTCCAGAATTAGAGAAAAGGATTCCCAGTCTTATGCCTTGGTGATAAAAGTAGTAAAGTCTATCTTTTTCCTACTCTGATTTTTATGTAAGAATTTCTACCTGGTTAATTAGAGGAAGTGATTTACACTTTGAGGACCTTGGTCATAGCCATATGGCAAACTGCCACTATGGTTACAAGCAGCAGTCTTTGTAAGTACAAGACAATTTTGTTCTGGGCTAAAATGCTTGTTATTTCTCTAGGTAGCAGGGAAATAACGAGCTACAATGCTTTCTGGGCACTCTCAGTGCCTAGAGAAAGTCAAGGAGGAATCAAGGCAGTCCTGTACTGGGTAAACATGGGATGCACCACTAGAGTATGCATGAATAAGCAGTAAAGGAGACCCCACTGCTTAATGTGGTGCAGTGTAGCACCTGACAAAGAAACTAGCTGAGGATCCCCAAAGCAGTTTTAGAGACAAAGAAACTTGGGTTTGGTGCTGCGCTATGGGGCTGTTACCACTTCAAGAGCCAGTTAGGTGCTATCGCCTTGTATAACGGCATCTTTTTGCTGCAGCTTATGGATCTGCCTCCTGAAACTGCGTGGTTAGTTCTAGTCTGTGGAGATCTCGGGCCCATCTGTCTTCAGATCTAATTATAGTTTGATGAGATGTTCTGCAGAACCAAAAAGCATGTCCCCACCTGCATGCTGCTTTGGAAAGGCAGCAAGATCAGAAAAACGAAATGGAAAAAAATACTAAGGTTTGCTGTAGTTTTGCCTTCAATAAAACACCATTTCCAGCTTTGGATGCAGACCTATTTCATGCTTTGTGAGGCTTCAAAAACAGAAACTGACATTTTTCTATGTCACCATCCAGCACAGTTATTGTCTTTACTGATAGCATTTATTGCAGGATTTGGCAAGTTCTTTTAAGTAAGGTTAATACTATTGTGTACTACAACACTATTCTATACTATTCTATTACTATTTCTGGCTAGTAAGAACATTTCTTCATAAATAAATATTAGCTGAGCTGGCATCCTTCATCTGTTTGAATTCTGCTTTTTCTAGGAGTTGCATGGAAACCACTATACAGTATGTTAATCTCACAAGTACTATACTTTAAAAAAAAAAAAGGGGAGGGGAGGAAAAAAACCCCACAAACATAATGCGAAAGCACGACCAGCATCCCCAAAACAAACAAGCAAACAGCCCCCCCTTGTCCCCCAACAGGAACCAAAAATAGTATAGCAGGAGATGATAGCATCACCAAGGTGAAGGATGTAGGAGCTGAGTATTAGGAAACAATTAGAATATGCTGAATTATCATAAGGAACTGCCAGAAGAAAAACAACAACATTGGCTTCAGAAAAACTCATTTTGATTAGTTACTGAGCCTTTTGGCTGTACTACGATGAAGTCTAGCTAAGCAATATAGCAAGAAATATGCTCTATTCACTGAGTTTCAGTGAAAAGTAGGTTTTCATATTATCATTTGAATTGGTTAGCTGAGGTTTGTGGAAAACTTCATTAAAAGGTAACGTGCTAAAATGAGAACTATGTAACATTCTGCTACGTGTGATGTTTTTATATCCCTGTTTTGGTAGCTGTATGTTATATCGTGCTGTGTTACGACTTCAAAGCTGAATCAGGATAAGGCCTTAGAGATGATATTTGGGTTTTGCTTGTTTGAGGAAACTTGAGTGGCTTTTCAAATTTAGCTTGAGAAATAAGGAAGCATTATTTGAAGGCTGAAGGATTATATGAACTTGAACGCTGACAAAAGGTAATATAAAAATAGAGGAGTGTTTGTCTGCTGAAAAATTACGTTTTTGTGTGCCAAAATGAAAGACCTGTACGTGCCATAGACACTTTAGCGCTCTGCTTGACAAGGGCTGAATTAAGGGTAATGCTGGATTTGTGAATTCAAATAAAGTATTTTTGTTTTGACAATTAATCAAAAATGAGAATAAATCTTTCTGGGACTGTATGGCAGTATGTCAGCTGAGTTCTTGCAAAGGGAACAAAACACTTTACAGTGGCCTTTGTTGTAGGAAAAGGTCACGTTGCTCAAGGTTTCGCCTTGTCAGGCTAAACTGTCAAGATACCTTCTTTCTTATTATTCTTGAAGGCAGCGATTAGCATTATTTACCATTGCAGGGCTTGAGAAATACACACGGAGTTGTAGTATTTTTAGACATAGAAGTTTTAGTTGGATTTATTGCATGTTTGCCAAAATGAAGGACTGGTGTGCCCATGCTAACCTTCTCGACAGGCCATGTCACAGCTGGCTGGCTTGCTGGAATTCTAGCTACCACGTTCGAAATACAGAGGTAGACAAAAGGCCTATTGATTGCAGCTTGGTTTTCTGTCTTTCAAGGGAACGTATTCTACTTTGTAAGAATTTGTAGAGGAAGGATGAAGCCTTGTTTGTTGGTAACCTTGAAGAGTTAATTTTCAGGGAGTTTTTAAAGGCTGTAGGCTGATATTTTTTAACCTATTTCATATTAACTTACTGCTTAGGAGGTCATCTAACTGAAGACTAAGCAATGGATCTGTTGCTGATGGAACCTGTTAGCATTTCAGGTTTTGACTTCAGTGACACCAGGACCTAATTGCTGACTTTGCACGGCATGAAAATTTGGTGGTGTTTTTCAGGAGGTAACACTTGATACTGATGGATCCAGGCCTCTCAGGAAAACCTTGGGGTCAGGGAATAAGAACAGAGCAGCTGGATAAGGCAATTAAGAGCTTTTGTGTGCCTGGATTTTTGTGCTGTTTGTTGCTTGGCAGGTGTGGTCTGTCCTTCAGTCTCAGCAGCAAAATGGTTCAGAACATTTCTGCTAATGTGTGTTGAGACGAAGGAACTGGAAACAAAATTGTCTCCCCGGTCTCTCTGGCAATTAAGAAGATTTAAAGTTGAAAGCAGCTATAAGACAGTGTTATACAAAAGTTACCAAGGGAAAAAAGCATTTACAATGAACCCCATTACTTTAATTGCAGAGTTAACTTGAGCTCAGGGTTGAGTTGAATTCTGAAAGCTTCCCACCAAGGGGACTTGCATCTTTGAATCAGGAATGAGCTTAAGTACTTTCATGGCTTGTTTTCACTGAATAGAAAGAAGGAAAGAAAAACTGAATGTCAAAGTTAGTTGCGTGGGGTTTTTATTTATTTTTATTATTTATGTATTTATTTATTTTTAAGATAATGCTTGTAAGAACCAACCGTTGTTAAAACAAGCCTAATGTAAATGAATCCACCTAGGCTTGTAAGGCAAACTTTGCTTTCTTCAAAGCCCTTTGGGAGGACAAGAGCTGACCTTTTTATCTTTGTGGTGTATTTCGAAGGAAGGGACTGTGCTTCGAGGTTCAAGGGAAAAGCCCATGCTGAAGTCTGTCAAACAGAATACTCTGATACTTTTACCATGCTTTTGGAAAACCTATTTTTCTCTTCTTAGCTGAACTTGAAATTGGATTCAGTATTGATCGGGAGCTATGTCCCTGCTACTATTCTTCACTTTGGAAGGCTGGCCTGCCCTAAATGAAGAGCTGTCATACCAGCACTGGTTTGTGTCCACACTGAGCTCTTTGGGCAGCTCACTTTTACCAGCATGAGGTGCAGTCCCACCTCTTGCTGCTGACTAGACAGTTTCATTACAACTAAGGAACTGCATTTTGGACTTTATCAAGCATATTTGAAAGAAATTAATATTTTTTCTGCTTCTGGTTGTGTTACAGATGCTATGAAAAGCTGTGCAGGTGTGGTCATTTTAAGAAGTACCTTGTTGCACAGATAGTTGTTTAAATAAACTGGGCTGCTTAATATGAAACTTAACAGGAGAAAGAGTGAGACTTCTTGAAACAAGATGCTTAAGGATAGTGTAGGGATTTATTTTGGCAACAACTACTGTGAATGGGTTTGAGCTCTCTTTCTGGGCATGATTGACAGGTTGGGAATATCACCATGCTGGAGCTTAGGCTCATTTGATTATTTTGTATGTACACTTCTTCCAGTTTACACAGGTCTGTTCCTAAGGATACCTTAACAGCAAGAGCTGGAAGGTTTTAACTGTGCTCAACATGTTAAGAAGGCTCTATCTAATATTTTTAAATTTAGCTCAAAATGGATTTTTTTGGAAGCCCGAGTATTTGTTTTTTAGTGTTTGTCATACATTTCAGATTTCCAATGCTTAGCTGTTACCCATTTAAAATTATCAATGTTGAGAACTGTTTATCACTGTTAAAGTATTTTCTCTGTCATCCCCAGGAAAGATGTCTAGCGACCGGGCTCTGAGGAAACAGCAGCAATTGAATAATTTGGTAGCAGCAGTGACAAAGCTCGCTAAGCCTGGAGATGTGATTGTGGATTTTTGCAGTGGAGGGGTAAGGTGTATTTTCTTTACATAAGGCAATTTCATTTGGCTTTCATCTTCAGATTTGTAGATGGATGCTGCCATGTCTCCTGTGAAGAAAGGCTGAGAGAGCTGGGGCTGGTCAGCCTAAAGAAGAGAAGACTCTGGAGTGACCTCATTGCAACTTTACAATACTTAAAAGGGGCTTATAAAAAAATGGAGAGTGACTTTTTGCTCAGTCAGATAATGACAGGAGAAGAGGGAATAGCTTTAAACTAAAAAAGGGGGTGAGATTTAGATTAGATGTTAGGAAGAAATTCTTCACTCAGAGGGTGGTGAGGCACTGGAACAGGTCTCCCAGAGAGGTTGTGGATGCCCCATCCCTGGAAGTGTTCAAGACCAGGTTTGACAAGACCCTGGGCAACCTGGCCTAGTGCGTTGCATCCCTGCCCATGGCAGGGGGGTTGGAACTGGATGGTCTTTGAGGTCCCTTCCAACCTGACCCATTCTATGGTATGATTCTGTGGTAAGGCAAAGCAAAAATACATATGCTGAAATTCTAACTGCTTTCAAAGGTTCTGTCGATGGTTAGGGAATACTCAATGTGAAATGAGTCAACAACAGGGGACACTGACAAGATTTTGTTGTTTGCTTTGGTTTTCACAGGGGCATGTGGGAATTGTTCTTGCTTACATGCTGCCATCATGTCAGGTAAGCTCTAAATGAAGAGTATAAATGGTATGAGCTTTTTGTCTCTGATAATTACCTTAAAATGATGTGCATCTGGGGAAGATAAACATGAAGACAAGACTGTTACTTTTGGGGAGAACTTATGCTCTAGAGAGAGAGGTTTTGTTAGTACCTGTAAAGGTATTTATCACGTTATTATTAGTGGGGGGGAAAGGGTAGAAGTCATCCCTGGAAAGGAAAGTTTAGAAAAAGTTCCTCCTAAGATAAAGGAAAGGGGGAAAAAAAAAAAAAGAAATGTAACTTTAGAGTACGAACGTTATTTGATTCAGCAAAGCAAGCAATTACAGTGCTAAAGTGCGTAGATGATCTTACTGCTTTCTAACAAAGCGTTTAAGCTTATGTTGTAAAGTGTGTATAGACATGAAGCCCTTGTTATGTGAAGAAGGCCTGCCATATATTACCCCAAGTGAGGAAACATACAGGCATAATGTGATAGCATTTTTTGCTGTTAGAAATCGTAGAGGTTATTGCTATACTTGTACACATACACTTTGCTCTGTCTGCAGCCAGTTGTGCCCAATTAAGGAATTAATTGGCAGAGGTAAACTTTTTTAGAAGCAAGTTTTCATATGTGAATACCAATTACAACATTTTCCTATTTCCAACATTGAACAGTATGAGTATCTTTCTTTTCTTTTTTTTTTTTCCACTCTGTTCCTAATTATGTTCTTAATTATATCATGTTGCTTTGGGAAATGACTGGGTGAGATGGAGCCAATGAAAGGAGTGAGAGACTGGCTCCTTCCATAGGTGTGCTGCTGGGTATGCTTCTGGGCTTGGCTTGGGCAGGACATCCATTTACAGACTAAGGCCATGAACCAGCAGAAAGAGTAAGGGAGTAACCTCCTCTAACAGGAGGAGAGCAAGAACTCTGGAAACATGGGGTCTCACTCAGTGTTACTGAGTTGGCTGGCAGCAAGCATCCTCATGAAAGGACACAGGACAGGGAGAGTTACTTAAATCTCATTATTCTCTTCTCTGTCTCATCTAGTTACTTTAACTTATCTTTGTTTAAAAAATTAATTTTCTAGGTTATTTTAACCCTTAAAATACAACCTTTTGAGTCAAAAGATTTGGATTACTGTCAGAGTGCAGTGAAAAATTGTTTGGAAACATTTGCCTCAGAGGTCATGATCTGTCATGATGGGTGTCTACCATCCTTGTAAACTCTACCTTAATTCTTGTCACTGATTAGGAGAAAAATGGTTCTTCGTTTTCATAACAAACTGGATGCAGAAGTCAAGAAACTGAGCTATCCGGTCTCACTGATGTGACCCAGACTTCCATCAAATATAATTGTGCAAAAAATATATATATTTTACAGCAGAGATTTGAAATGTGCAAATTTTTAGTGTAATCACAGGTGTGTGAGGTGCTTGCCTGAGAAAAGGGAAGTTCTAGACCTAAGACAACAAATGAATAAATAAATAAATTTGCCAGCTGATTGGTACTGGCAAGTCTTCAATGCCTTTCATTGTTGTTTTGTCATCTGCTAATCATTCTGTAGGTCTTATAAGTAACTTGTAGCTTAGTTGAGAAAACTTCTCTAAAGTTTTGTTCATGCTGGTAACGTTTGACTCTTATTTTTCAGTATTATTTTGCTTTACTCTGTCTTGTGTGTGAAATCTAGGTGGTGCTCATAGAAAATAAGGAGTTATCTCTGATCCGTGCTAAAGACAGAAGCGATGAACTAGGTTTAAACAACATCTCATTCATTCAAGCAAATCTGGACTATTTTAATGGGACTTTTAACATTGGGGTAAGTGTTTGTAACTTTTCAAGTTCAGAATTTTAATTTCAATGTCTGGTTAACTATTTTCTACAACTACTTAACTAAAATATCCGAGAAAAGGAAATTTTATGCTTATACAGCTTATTCTGATGCTACATGAAGCACCCTTGTTATATTAACCAATATTAGGTTGGTTTTGTGTTTATTTTTTATTTATCTGAGTCAATAAGGAAGCAGTATCTATTCTAATCAAATATGACAATATGAGTGCTGCTTAACCGTTCTGAAGACAAATAGTGTGGTAGGTTCTTGATTTAATGATATTATTTTAAGATTAGTTATTCACTGATGGAGGTATGCTGGGGAAGGTTTTGAAGACAGGAAGAAAAAGGCAGCTTGTGCTCAAAGTAAGCCTGGGTACAGGAAAGTGAGATCAGAGGTGTAGTTAGGTGACAGTAAAGGCATTTGCAGATAAAGCAAGCAACTCAAGACTTCACAATGCAAAACTGAGAAGGAACTTTAATGACAGGGAGAATGTTACACTAATGATCTGCATGTATATTCTTTGTGAAGGGTGTACTCAAGCTGTATTTTTAATGGCAGAGTGAGATCTCCATTTTGTAGGACTCATACTGAGCACTCCTGTTGCAGTCAGCGGGTGCTGGTCTGACTTTTGGTGACTGTAAATGAGCAGACCAAAGCAGGAATCACTTTTATAGGAACAAAGTAAATGATTTGAATACTGATTCAAAGTATCCTGAACTCTGCAGCCCTAGTGAAGAGTAAGGTACAAATAGTCTCTTTTAACGCTGTAAAGATTCCTCTCTTCTGGTTTGATTTTATGTTAAAAGCATCTGAACTTTTACAGCAAGTTCCTAACTTTCAATGCAAGTCTGACTATTCCCTAAACCATCCATCCAAGTGCCCGTTTGTCTGTAGCTTAGGGTGCTTAATGCTGAAGCTTTATGGCACATACTCTCCAGTTCTGTTTAACTATTTGGTTTGTTTAATAAGGGAATTGAAGCATAGAGCAGGAGAAAGAGGAGAGAATAAATTATTTTTTATTTATTATTATCCTTCTAACTGTAAATTTCCAGTTCTCTACCTTTATTTTCTGTGTTTTTTAAATCTCATTGGATGAACTATTGCAAAAAATCAGAATCTCCAGAATAATTTAGTGAATACTGCGTGTGAGATGTATCGTAGTTTGTTAGTGAGGTTAGTCTCCAGTGTTGCGGTCATGGGAGCTTTTCTTAATTTTTTTGGTCTGTTTTTAAGGTTAATACTAAGTTAAATATTTCATTGGAGTTTTTGTTTAATAAAAAGGTGTTATATTCTCCCTTAAGTCTCATGACAAGTAAAATGCTAAAGTACATGTCTAGAAAAAATCAATTGCAAACTCTTCATTTCCAGGTCTGTGATTTCAGTTTGTTCGGCTTGATTCTGTACACTATTCCAGAGACAAACCTGGAGCTTTCCTTTTTTGGGAGACCTATATCAATCTCATCTCAGAATTAGTTTGTCCCATATAACGATTCCCTCTCCAGGATGAACTCCTGTTTCCTCTGCAGCCACACGTAGGACAGGAGCTAGCTGTTGGACTTAACAGTAGTGCAAGTGCTTGATGGTACATTGGAAGGTAAATAATGTAAAGTTTAGCTACCTTTGTATCGTTAAGTCATAAACGCTGGTCTGATACAAAAATCGCAATATGATGATGCACAGATGTGTACAGAGTTTGGTGATGCATCGTTTCTAAACCCATCTTCTGTGGCTCGTAAAGCTATTCACTCATTGCAAGACTGTGCCATTCTCAATGAAATAGTACAGCGTAAATGTGAGGGGGAGCATGACAAATTCACTGGCTATGGTACGTGAAATTTAAAGAGATCTAGAAAAATGAACCTGACAAGTCTTCATCTCTCTACTTTTGGTATTAATTTAAAACAAGTTTATATGCATTTTTAGTTACTATGAAATAAAAAACTGCACTACTTGGCTGTTTTCTTAAGTGCTATCTGAGAGGAGTTCAAAAGCAGGTTAAGTAGAATGTGTCAACCAGTTCCTTTTTTATTCCGCCAAAAGGCCAGAGGACTAATACAGGTCAATGGTCTCGTACTCAATTAGCTTTGTGGCTTTCCTCAGGGGACACTTTGTTTTCCTTTGTCTACAGATGTGTGAATTTGTGAATGAAATGCATTAACTGCATTTGTCCTTGCTTTTTATTTTGTTTCAGATAGTGAGCTTGACATATAGGATATCCTGAGAAAACCTTGCCTTCAATTTTATTTGTTGATTTTTCCCTTAACTAAATTGACTTTGAGGAACACAAAGAATAAATCAAATGGCTTACAGTTCATACAGACTCAACAAAGCTACTGTTTTTTTGTTTATTTACTTGTGTTTTATCCAGTACTTTAAGGTTTAAGGTATCTTTTCCAAACATGCAAGCAAAGCAGTTATTACTTTCTGCTTGGATAAAAAGGGAAGTAACTATAATTATATTCCACGATAATCTCATATTTTTCTGGTCTTAAACTAGTTTTATTTTTGTTGTTAAATTCGTAAGGACAGAAAAATTGCATTGTGAAATTACTACATATATTAGTTTTTAATGTTCTGCTTGAGACAGGAGTATTTGTTACCATCTGTATGCAGTTATAGTTCAGCTGCTGATTAATGGTCTGCTCAGCTGAGCTTACATCAAGCAGTCTGCAAACAAAAAAGTCTTTGTTTTAATCCACATCTGAGAGCAAAGTTTTTATCTCCCAGTTGCTGTACCTTGAAAAACAGCTTTGAACCTTGAAATGTGAGCTTTGCAGCTTTAAACCCTTTTCTTAAATTTACGGTGAATAAAAAGCATAGAAAACAATGCAGTTTTACAAATCTAACTGCTGCATAAAGTAGCAGGCACAATATTCAATTAGGGGTAAGGCAGACTGTGTTTCTCCTCCAGGGCTGAGAGGCTGTAGAAGCACGTTGAGGGAGGCGCGTTCTTGATTTTTGTTTGATGTTTGGGATTGTCTGGTATCTAATAAGGTACAAATGGGAACGAGAGGGGGTTTTTGTATTTCTAAATCCTTTTGGCTTGAACATAAACTTTTGACTAATCACCATGGTAGCTTGTCTTTTAAAATTTTTCTGTAGCTTCATTTACAGTTGAGTTGATAGGACAATGCAGTGCACCTACGCACCTATCTTTTGAGTACTTTTGGTGAGTGACCCTTGTTCAGTGCTGATGACTCCCTTCTTAAGTGGAGTTAGGTCATAAAGTTTCCTCAGCATAGACATGAAAGAAAAAAATGCAAATCCAAGGATTTAAGGACCAGGCCTTTGGCATAACAGCTTCATTGTTAAACTCTCTGCAAGGATTTAATTCAATCAATCAAAAATACTACAACAGGATTTTATGTAGAATATTGCTATAAAGAATGTGCTTGTTTCTTTGTTTTCTGTTTTTAACATTGTAGGTGGCTCTGCATGCATGTGGAGTGGCAACAGACATGGTGATTGAACATTGCATCAAGGCGCGGGCAGCCTTTGTCATCTCCCCGTGCTGTTATGGCTTCATTCAGAACACTGTGAAGTTTAAATATCCACGAAGGTAAAGTAAGACTAACAAGATAAACTTTAAAATAGCAATTCAAGTGAAAAAAGAAAGTGATAGAAGAGTACATAATTAATCAACTCAAGGTCAAGATCGTTGCAAGTGTCCAGGTTCAATTGGTTCATACTTAAAGTGCAACCATCTCCTCCTTTTTCTCTTTGCAAATCCGTCTTGAAAGGGAGACAGATGGGTAATTCCTGGGTTATTTTTTCTGGATTTATCCAGGAAAAAAAATCACAGCAGTTCAAAAAAGACTCTATACCTTCAACACAGTAGATACAGTATGTGGTAATCTATGTAATATGCAGACCTCTTACCTTGAAATCACAAAGTTAATAGAAAACTCATGAAAAGTAATGTAAGAAGGGGAATTGACATTTTAATGTTGGAGAAAGATGTAAGCAATCGGTTTAAAGAAATGGGTCTGCTTTTATGCCACAGTTTACTGCTTGTGAAGCTGTTCTGATTTATTCCCAAGTAGACGAGCTCTCCTGTTTTTTGGATCCTAGTTTTAATACTTTTTCAGTGGACTGTGTAGGTATTTTGTTTCTCCAAATCTGCCATGTTGGAAATGCTTCTTTGTCTTAGGCTTAAGAATTTTAATGCCTTTGATACAAATAAAATGCGAAAGTTTGGCAAAAAGTAGCAGAAGATATGAGGCTAGCAGCTTTCTAAGGTAGAACTAGGTGGGGGGGAGGTTTTATTTTGTTTCATTTTATTTTCATAAAGCTGAACTTTGCCTTTTGGATATCCAAGATGAATCAGATTTAATTATACTAGAAATTAAAGCATTGACTCAGCTATATATTTGCTAGAGTAGGAAGCTGAAACGTGCTGTCGTAAAAAGAATCAACAGATCTTATAAATAAATAAATATGTTTCCATGGTAAATATTTCCCTATCTTTCTCTGTTATTGAGGTGTGCTGTTACAGAAGTGCTTGGAGAGTAAATACTTAAAACTTAGTTTGCTAAACTTTGCATTTAGCAGTCCTTTCTTAGTCAGTTTGATTCTTCCATCTCTTTAGAAGTGTCCCTTTTGTTTTCTCCTCTGACAGAGTAAAACATAGAAGTATTTTTAAGGAAGAGGCAATAAAATTTTAGGCTTTTTAAAGTTAACAGACATATAACTTTTCTCTGTTATTTTGTTGTAGGATCGACTAGATGCTGTTAACTTTTGCCAAGTTATATTTTAATCATGAAGTCCAGAAACGCATGCTACGTTAGGAATCTTTTGTTGCTGTAGATGCTGAAAAAATGTAAATTGTTGAGGTTTTGTGTTTGCTAAAATTATAAATCCGAGAGTGTAAGCCAATGTAGGAGTTGATGTGGTTCATAACATTGACCTTGGCTCAAACTATATTTTAGGCTTTACTTCTTTTCCCTTAATTTTTAAGATTATGAAACGTGATAGACCTCCCATATCCCTATACTGCCCATATTCCCTATTCAGTTCCATCCTAGAAACACCTTACTCTTGTGATGCACAGAAAATGTGTGCCTCTAGAGGTTGTGTACCTGTAATACAAAGTATGTGAAAATGTGGAAAACCCAGTAAATCTGCATTAGCATTTTTGATAATTTAAAGAGTGGATCTGTATGAATAATTCAATAGAAGAATAAAAGACATCAAACGTGCTTTTCCTTTATTAGTGAACAAACTGTCATGGTTTCTGTTTTTTTGAATGCCTTTCTGTATGCTATGGATACTGCTGTTTTGCATAAAATGTGGTCAGGTATGTAAGAATTGCTTCTATTTTCCATCTTGGCTTTTTTAGATGTTAATTGAATTGGTCTTTTTTTTTTTTTTTTCAGTAATCAGTTCAAAGAAATTTTATCCTACAAGGTATGTAAGATAAACAGCTGTGGAATAGTGGATGGAGGGGGTTTGGGGCTGTTCCATGCATTTCACTGAGTCTTATCAAATGAAATATAAGTGCTTATCTTTTAATTGTGAGGGTGTGCATGTGTTATGTTAAATGTTCATTATTAACATAGACATCGTTGTGTTGTGTTCTCTCCACCATCCATTTTTTAAGGCTTTTTTTTTTCCTTCCATAAAGTTTCATGGTATCTCCCCCAGATAATTCTTTTTCATCATAAGGTATAAAAGAGCCATTCCTAAGATATACCTGTTTCAACACTTACAATTTAACAATTACAGGATACCAATTTTTTCTTAAATACTAATCCTTATACTGTAGAATTTTACTATCATTTTTTTAGGCAAAATGCTTACTTTTATAGATAGTATTTTATGACAAACTCAGATTTCCCCCTCTAATTTATGTCTAGAAGGTTGGACATAATGAGTAGGAAGAACAAATACTCTTCATCAAGAATTCTGTACTGTATTGTTTTAAAAACTTTTATTCAAAATTGTTTTAGAAGTATTCAAATGTGTTTCGATCTGGAGTCTGTGTGGAGATTGCTTGAGGGAAAAGTGGGAGAATGAAGCAATGAGGTGTGCAGATCTACCAGAATGAAGATAACTGGGGAGTGGAAAAGGACAAGAGCAGAGAAGTGGACAGGTGACAAGTGGTACCAATTCATTAAGCTTTGTCTGGTGTGTTTAAACTTGTTAGTGATGAGCAGCCAGAAGTTTGATGGTTAGGTGTGCTCAGTCTGGCACAGAAAGAAAATATCTGCAATTAAGAGAAGAAAGGACATATAGAAACTTTGCTAGGGTTACATGTCAAATCCTAGATACTTGTCTCAGTGTTTTTAATCCAGAAAAGCCTATGAATTCTGGAGATGCAGAATAATCCTCTATTCCTGAAATACGTGAGAAGGATGTTATTTCTAATTGCCAAATGTAATGGTGGCAGTGTGCGTACTGATGATGCTGTATTTAGCAGGAAAATGGAGATTGTCTTTTTAAATCCTCTAATTGGAGGTCATTTAAAAACATTAGAAAACCTCTCACTAGGGAGTTTCAGTTATTATAATCTTATCTTCATGACAGCTTGGTTTATGTACACTTCACTAATTTACATGGAAATAAATTTGTGTAGATTGAGATGATAAAAGTGGCATAGTGGATTTGGACCTGGAATGAGATTTTCCACTGATCAACATTCCTTCCATGTACTTACATGTTCCTAACACATAATCACCAAGCACTCAGGTTTGAGTTTAGAAAAAGTTTATTTGCCAACGTGTTATTAAAAGTAGACCTGTGGACGTTACAGAGGGACAGGGTGACATAAAAAAATCAAGGAAGCCTTGGTTAGGATGGTGTGTGTAATCTTATTGCAGCTCTGACTTTTTCTTTTTTTTTCTTTTAATCCATGGACACGTAGATCACAGGGATTATCACCACTTTAGAAGTTCCAGTGTCTTACTGTTCGTGTAGCAGAGAAACGCAGGGGCCAATGGCAATACTAAAAAATAATTCTGCTCTTAATAACATAATAGTCTGTACAAATGATCTAGGCTCGATGGTGCCTCAAGTAATCCTAGATATAAATAACTTTTTGTTATACAGCTAGCTATATGCATTTTTTATATTTCATATTAATAAACTGTTAAAGGTTACTGGCTAGTCGCCAAAGCTGCCATGTGTTAGCCAGACATTGTCTGTGTCACCCCCATCCAGTTCCCATTTTAAATTCATTTCTCTTGTCTTCCATTTTAGTGAGATCTAAAAAGACATCCAGAAGTCTGGCAATTCCAAAACTTTTTGTGATGAGAACATCGTGCTGTAATTCATTAGTTTATAGCTATAAAGAATAAGGTGACGGTAGCTGTAGATGTCTACCGTGATACGTTTTGAGACTCTGTTTTTCAAGACATCGTCCATGTAGGAAATTTGGAAAGTAAGAAGGAATTACTTTGGACGTCCAGCTCTGAAAACTTACTGGGCATTTCTGTGGGTGTTCTAAAGGCAAAATAACTGCTTATACATGCCCAACATTTATGCAGTTTATAATTGTTGTCCTTGTTACTTTAAAACTACTTTTACCTTCATTTCTGCCAACAGGGAATGTGACAATTTACTGGTTATATCATGGGAAAAAGATATGGTTATGCCTCAGGCTCTAGTTTAGATTTAAGGTTCATCTCTTGTAGGAAGCCAAGGCACTAGGGCCAGTCCAGATTTCCAGGTTGTGTGGCAAGTCTTACCTGGGCTCTGGTCTAGCTGAATGAGCTGCGATCCTGATATTGCAAAGAGCCAGGCTGTGCCGAGTGCCTAAAGACTGGTGAAGGGTTCTGTGCTATCTCTGACCTCCTTCCTCTCCTGTGAAACCCTTCTTTTTCTTCTCAAGCTGCCTACCCCTAAGAACAGCCACGTTGCCTCTGGCATTACTTCTCAGTTCCCCAGTAGTTATATCTGGGTTAAAGGTTTTCAGCTCTTTTGTACTACCGAAATAGCTGTATTTAAACTGCACTGACTGATACAACATGTTGAATCCTAAATATGTTATAGCATGTTCTCATTTTGCTTGCAAATTTGTTATGGAGCTGTGAGCTGAAAACCCTCATGTGAGTTATCTGTAGTAGGAAACAAACATCTCTGCCTCAGGATATTGTGTGTTTATTGAAATAACTGAAATTTGAGTTTAAAGTAGCAATAATGTCTTACTGTATTTTATTTGAAAATCCGTGAGTAAACTGTTTTGTGGTCAGGTGTCTGCAATTACATGAACTGGATGGAGTGCACTGTGGAGAGAGTTACCATCTTGATTTAATATGAAGATGGGATTTCATTCAGGCTTTTTTGTGTGTGTGAAATGAAGACTTTTGGATGTTTATGTCCCCCTTAGTAAAAAGCTGAAGTATCCTTACTTCAGGATACTGAAGGAAGCTGAAGTATCCTTAGGTGAAGTCTCTCTCTCCATCTGTTACAGCAACCACGCCCTTAAAATCATCTTTCTGTATAAGTCAGGAATCAAAAAAACATTTTCCTTTTGATGCAAGACACATGTTCATTTTCAGAAACGTAGCTGTGGAAGCTTTGCGTAGCAGTATGTTTTCTGTTGTTGTCTGTTTCTGTTTTCTCCCTATCCCATCATAGGAGATGTTACAGGAACATGATAGGAGACCTGGGAGTGTTGTGCAGTTCTAAACTGGTTCTGATTTACTCTGTCCTATACTTCATACTGCAGCTGTCCCAAATAGCACAGCTGTCAGCAGAGCATTAATTTCAGTGCTATACCTTCAAGGCTTTTTCTGTCACCATCTGGTTAACTCACCTTCCTTAGCTAGGCTGAGCTTTGAGAAACCGTTCTGCTAGCATAGCTGGCATTTCTTTGAAGGCTGTTGAGGATGGGGTTCTGGCCCCATCCAAGCAGACAGCAAGGTGGTGGGTTAACCCTCTACCACACCATACCCATGAGTGTCAAGACAGGAAAAACTCAGTGGCAGCTATCGTGGAAGCCTCTGCAGAAACTTTTAAGTTCCTTCATGACCTTTTAGGTTGATCCTGGATGGGTTCGGCACAGCAAAGGAAGCTTGTCCCCACAGAGTGGTGATTCTTTGATTCAGAATTGCTGCTTAGGAGAAACAATCCAGTATTTCAAGTCACCTATGTAAGAATTTTGTCTTGACCCTTCGCTGACGCAGACATGCTGCCCAGTGATGACTATGCTAAAAGAAGGCTGGTTTTGATCTACAGTAGCTGAGGGCAAAATAAGTCTGACATATGCCTTTGAAAAATGCAATCTTGCATATGTTACATCCAGTTCCGCTGCTGCAGACATTTGGAGGAATTTTAGCAAGAAACAAACCCTTCTGAGTAGAAATCTGCTTATGGTTACAAACACTTGATTTACAAATTTTTTTTTACAAGCCAAAGCAATATCAAAATTAGGATTTACAGGCATTATTTTTCCAGAAACAGTCTTCTATGTGACAGAAGTTCTTAGTACTTACAAACATTTAATTAGATTTTTCTTACTTGAAAGTGAGAAATGCTACTGGACCAAAGTTCTTTTCTTTTTCTTCCAGGAGCACATGATCCTTTGCAGGTTTGCAGATCAGACAGCTGTTCAGCTTCCACCCGAACGCAGGCTAGTAGGTATGAATTTCTGCAGCTGTTACGTAGACTATTGCAGCGTTATTATTTATGTTGCTTTATGAAGAAATAGTTTAATGTTTTATGAAATTGGGGTTTCTTCACATTTCTCTCTATGCTGTTCTGAACTATGATAGTGAAAATATTTTCCTTCATTCTAAATTATCAATATGAGCTAGAGGGTTAGCATTGTACTGAGTTTCATTGCCTTTCCACTTTCTCCTCCACTCCCAAATCATTCTATAAAAAGGATGAGGTTTTTGTAAACTTTACTGAAGTCTTTCTGTTGCCAGTCCATCTTGCATTAAAAGCACTTCTGCAGGTAGTGATTTGCAGTCTGAACCCTTTGTCCTGCTTGTGATAACTTGTTTAGAAGGGCAAACATCCATGCCAACTGGAAACAACAAGGCTACACTGCAGAATGTGGGCTACTTTTGGTACAGACTGGCTTCAGAGCATACAAACCTATTTGTCCCACCTCATTACATTTGTAGAAATTTTAGAAAAAAAAATATAAAAAATCTTCTGGGTCAGAAAAGACAGAAGAGGCTGGAAACTCTAAGGGTTTAACTCTCCATCCTTGGCTCACAAGAAACACTTCCTAAGTATATTAAAGCAGAAGGAGCAAATATGTGCTTCTTTTTTTAAAAAAAAAAAAAGAAAAAAACTTCTTTTGAAGAGTTTGAATTATCTCCTATATTCACTGCACAAAAAGAAAATAATACTAAGATAACAATATCTATTTTATAACAAACTTGTCAGCTCTTTTGCTATCATCACAATATTTGTGAACAAGAAATAAAAAGTCAGTCTTCAGTTACCAGCGTAGCACCCCATGTTTTTTCCTGATGCTTACCAGGTGTACTGAAAATTGGAAGAGGACTCAAACATTTTTGAAAGGTTGTAACTTTTGCCTACTCTCTCTTTGAAACGGCAGTTTTTCATCACAAATGCAACTTTGATGTGCTTTTCACTGACAAAAAAAAACCAACAACAGAACAACAACAAAAAAAGAACAACCGTAAATCCTATTCTTCCTTTCTGTACAGGAAATGTCATTGCTTTTTCTGTTCTAAAGAATGTAATATTGTTTTTACTTCCACATAACACTACATTTCATTGAAGACCATTGAAGACCACTTTTCTGTTTCAGATTTGAAACTGCTGTTTCAAAACCTAAACCTTAAACTTCTACAGACGTTTCCCAGGTGCATATCAAAGCTATTAATGATACATGCAACCAAGTTCTGTATAAATTCAAGGGAGAGAAATACACAGTTACACAGGGTAGTTTAGGGTAGGGACAGGATATGTGTACTATTGGCTATTATCCTCATCTCAGGCCAAAAATTATATTTAATTGTGCAGTTCTTTCAAGAAAAAGACAGAAACATTGGCTTTGAGTCTGAAGCAGGACTGTGTCTTGTTCATGACTCAAGAGTGTATGACTATCAGCAATTAAAATGTTTCAGGGAGGTGCTAAATTTTTTTTGCAAGAGTTGCAAACTGCTGAAAACGTGATGTGACAGATTCTGTATTTCAAAACATAGAAATCAATTAAAATGAGTAAACAGGTAAAACCAAATGGCCCCGTCAATTTATCGTGGCTGTATCATAATTTTTTTTAAGAAAAAAAAAAAATTGAATTTTTCCTTTTTTTCCTTTTTCCCCTTTTTTCCTTTTTTTTGCAGATAAATCTGAGATAAGGTTAATTTCCATTAGTAATTCAGTATTTTTGTTTATAAGCAGTTACCTTTGTGTGGTTTCAGATCAACTGGATCACTGTTCTGTATTTTATTCTTTCATTTGATAATCACTAACCAAAGATCTTCAGATTTTAGATGAAACTACAGTAGGAAAACAGTTACAGTTATAAAGGAAGCAAATGCTTAGCAATTTTGAGAGCTAAGGGAAAAACTAGCCATTTTTTTCTTGTCACTTTTACGTTAATGCACACATTTTTCTGTAAGTTCTGGGAATACTTCAATAATTGTGCCTATTGGGTTTCTCTATGTGTATGTAAAGAGTTAATATTTTTTCTCAGGGTCATTGCTAAATAAGGGTTACAAGACACAGATGTGATTTAGAACTATTAATGACTGCCTATTTGAAGTACAGATTAACAGAGATTTTTTTAAGTAGATTCGGAACTTGTCCTGTAGATAACTTAGTGATGTGTTTTCCTAACATTGAAGTGCATGTTTCTGGTAATGTTTCTATATTTTTAGATTTTCCATGCTCACCTTTGCTCTCATTTTAGGCAAGCAGTGTATGGGGCTTGTGGATCTCGATCGGGCCTGGGCTGCAGAAGGAAGTAACTACTCTGTCCAAGTTATATCTATGGAGCCAGAGAGCTGTTCTCCAAAGAACAATATGTTTGTGGGCACCCCGACTTAGAGTGTGAAGCTCATACTTGATTTGAAGTCGAACATAAATCCTCAGTGCGTAACAACATCCAGCAGATCCAAGCATAGCTGGGAAGCAGATATCATGCATCTTGAACCCATTGTGTTTGGAAAAGGAAACAGCATGAGAAGTTTTAGAAAATGAACTGCATGCAGGGAATTATAGCTTGTAATGTGTCATTAGGCAACTTTTGGTGGTTCTTACTGAGAAGTCTCTACAACTGTTGATAGTATCCCATCTGTCTGCAGAGGTTTAGAAAAAAGGTGGTCTTAGAGAAGGGAAGGTGATTCTCTTCGCAGTAGAGCTGTCTTGGCTGCTTCAAAATTGTATTCATGTTCAAACCTTCATTTGTGCTCATTGGCAGAGCAGTTATCAGCCAGTTATGCAGATCACTAGAGGAACAGATGGAATTTATGGTGGTAGTGAGGAAGGTTGTGCAACAGGTGGTGGCTTGATTTCGCTAAAGAATTCCATCCTACTTCAGCAAGATTATTTTTAGTAAAAGTTTTTGAGAATACTTTGATCATCGTTCTGTATATAGAAAAAATGTACTCTAACCTAATAATCCTTTTAAAAATGATTTAATTTTTTTTTTTAATTTTATCTTTGAATTTTACACAGTAATTCTGTAACCAGACAATCGAAAGTGAGTATTTAAAGAAAGAAAACCCTTATTTCTCCATCGACAAGATAACAGGAGCTAGTGATGATATCAGCAAACAGCTACTTCACTGCCACCTCTACTAGTTGAAGTGGATTGCTTTCCATTCTTAAGAGACTTGCTGTCAGATGCAATTTTTAAGACCAGCTTGTGTCTGTACACACATTCTTCGTTTATTTTTATATTCAATTTAAATTTGAACAAAGTTGCAGTTGTGGAACCATTTGAAAAGGTCAACAACAGACTTGTTACTGTAAAATGAAAATAAATGTTCTTCTGTGCTTTTACTAGTAAACAGTTTCCTACCCTAGTTTAAAATTGTCTGTTAACACTAGTACAATCGGTAAGAGCTTATAACAGTATTTTCCCTGTATGATTGTGGGTTTCATACATTTGCAAATTTTGCCATGGAGTAATTTAAATTTATCTGAAGTTTGGTCAGCGTGTGTGACAAAAAAGCAGCAACGGGTATTGGAGGGAGAAAAAAGAGGATCCCAAAATGCTTTATTCTTTATGAAAGTTCTCTCTCTAAAAGATCTATTTTTTTTGTTGTTGTTGTTTTCATGTGAAGACTGAAGGAAGCTGCACACTTACTTGGAAGCACAAAGGTAAGCAAGTTTGTATTAAATGGTACCTTTAACCTGAATCCTTGAGAACGATGTAGTGCTTTTCCTATAACTTTTTTAGTTAGCAGGAGGAGCTGGGAGTTGGAAGATTGCATAGCAACATAGCAAGTATAAAATACGTGGCAATACCAGGTGTTACTGGAGGTTTCACCCGGAGATATGCTTGCTCAATGAGAACTCAGGTTTTTAAGCCAGAAGTAAGTCAAATCTGAACATTATCCAGGTAGTATGTTTGTGAAGAAGGACGAACTTACCAAGGTCAGATAGGTGATTGAATCTTTGCTGTTGATGGTAAGGATTTTCACAAAGCTTTACTCTGCTCTGGGCAATGGATACTAATGTGTGTCTTTTAGGTATGGTGGTGATGTGTATTTGACGTGTTCTATTATTATACTGTAATAATTAGCTTTCAGTAGAGCAAAAAACTGTGCTGTTACATGATTTGAAATTTCTACAACGTCCACCTCAATCATCTGTAATATTTTTTTGATTTACCAGAAATCAGAAAAGGAATGCACTTGGGATGTGCCATAGGAAATGTGTGCCACTGAATACAAGATGGGGAAAAAAGATTTTTTTTTAAACAGGCAAAACTCTTTCTTGGAAGCAGAGGTGGTGCAGGAGCTTTATTTGGGCAGGTGTCCAGCAGGCTATTAGATGCTTAGGTCAGTCAGGAAAAATAGCTAAAGCTAAACAAGAATCCCAGTACCAATCTCAGTTATTTTTGTTTCCTTTTTTTTTTTTTTAATACCTATTTTCATGTTAGTGAGCTAATTTCCCATAGGTGTGCATACTTGTAACCTAAGTGAATTATTTTACATTGTGACAGCAGACTGGAAAAATCCCACTGATGCCATGAAAGTCTGCCACCCCACATAGAATTGAGCTTCAGATGGGAAAAAATAAAAAGGTTTATAGAAGAAAAAGTAGAAAGAACCGCAAAAGTAGCGTTGTGTTTTTATATAATGTGACGTTCTTGTGTGACCTTACCACTACGGGCATCAGTGGGCTCTTGTTTCCTTTTTTTCTCAGGAGGACTGAATCTTCCCCTTTTCTAAGGATGGAGTTACCTTACTACGACTAGTAAAGTCTGATCTATGCTTGTGGTGAACTGATGCTTTGTTTATTGAAAACTGAAGAGAAGCAGATGACAAAAATATAGAAAGGAGAAAGTATTTTTAACAGATGTTAACAGGTATTTTGCTACAGATTAAATTACCACTCAGTGCCATCTTTTTGCTCTAGAAATGTGAACTCATATTAGTTTTTAAGGTACGTTGGTTTGTTACGTTTCCATATACATAAAAGGTATGAAATGAACAGAGGCCAAGAATTTCCTAAACAGCATGACTGGACATCACAGTGCTGGGAAGTGAACAATCATTGTTCTTCCCACAACTTGTTGCACACACAGCTAGCTTCATGTCCAAGATGCAGGCCTGAATACTGTTTAGTCCCACTGGGATGAGCTGTAGGGTGAACAAAGTATTGTCCTAACAATAGTCATAATTTTCTGTTGTCTTGCCTGTATTGTTTTATGTTATCCTTGGAGCCAGTAATGCTGGAAAAAGCAAGTTTGTAACATGAAGCTGATGACCAGATTGCACTGATCTCATCTGTATGTTAAAGTTAGTCATCTGTGTGTACATGCATCTTTATTTTTGTTCTTTCCTTTTTGTCTTTATCATATTATCTGCTTCCTTGGTCTTCTTCCAAGAGGTGTTAGAATTGCAATCTTTGGCAGAGGTGGCAGTATACAAGGGGCACTCCTGGTAGGTACGTTGTGCGCCCTAATTTCCTTTCGTTGCTTTATCTTAATTAAAACAGAAAAAAAAAAGATATGGTGTTGTTATTACTATGCTAAACCAGTCTTTTTTTATTTAAATTAAAGTTGCACGTTGTCAGTATTACCCATCTATTGTTCTTGCCAAGATGCACATAAAATGCTTAATTCAGAAGGTCAACATAAATCTTAGATGGTGGTTTTCTGTTTCTGTTGCTTGATTTTCAGCTGCCTGCTGGATCTGTAGTTTGGAAAGGCAATGCTAATCAGATTTTTTTTTTTTATTGGTGCATTCCTAGGTGACATTCTATGTTGATGTTTTCATTGAATAATTAGAAAGAACCGTGTGATCATGTATATGCCTACATAAGTTTGTGGGCTCTAAGTAAGCTGCAGCAAAATGCCATACAGCTGATTTTGAGTTTACATGGATAATCGTTTGGCTAGACACTATCAAGAAAAAAAAAAGCTAGAGGAGCATTACTTAGCAAAAGATAACAGAATGTCTGAAGTGTTGGTTTAGGCACTCAGACTAAATAGTGTATTTGTCTGCAGAAAGCACAATTCAGATTTTCCTTTAAGCCTTCTCAGGTACTGCTTTCAGTGTTTTTGCCTAGGAGCATTTGACTGTCATACCAGACTCCCCATGTACAGTCTCAATCTAAGCTCCTGTCACTTTTATTACTTTTTTTTTTTGTAAAAAAGGTGTATTGGTGGGACAAGATATCAAGCATGTACCTGCATACGTATCTGGCGTCAAAAATATTACTGATGCCTGGTGTCAAAAAATGTTATATGCCTCTTCAATAAAAGGAACCTGATCTCAGAACTTTCTGTGCTCAGACTTGCATTTAAACTACCTGTCATGCTTTCAGTTCAGTGGCTGTTTCTTAGCAAACTTCAGTTTCCTACAACTATCATTAAAATACATTGCATTTCCTAAATGAATAATATATTGTGATTATATGCAAATGGTAAAACTGAAACTAAGTTCATTTTCTTTGTTTCTAGCTTTTATTCACACATAAAATAAATGAATAATGAAGTGTCTTGTTGTGCACTCTTCTACTAAAAGTGAATTTGTGAAACACCTAACACCTAGACTTTCAAAATTCCTCTGATAAGCCTTCTGTGTAAGGAGAAGTATTTAGGCTAGTTGTATAATGAATCACTCAGGACATTTCTGAGTGAAAACAGAACAATTTTTATACTTTATATGTGTCAAGTGATGTTTCCTAACTTGTGACTCAAAATTATTTTACTTGACTGTTTGAATTTCTTGCTTTTTTTTTCAGCGGTGCTTGTGGAACTCTTCAGTTTTTGCAAAGTGAGTGATACTATTGGAGGTTTCCTCGTTAACTGATTAAATAGTTAGTGATTTTTGGAGATTAAATTATTGCTAATGCTGCGCTCTTTCCCCTTCAGACTATTTCACCTGACAGTTGCTGGTCTTTCATAAGTTTGTACAGCATCAGCTGTGATGAAGCCATTGAAACAGGTCTGCTAAATGATACAGTTATACTAATAAAGAATATAAATATTAATTTTAGTGATAATATTTTTTTTTATTTTTTTTTTTAAGGAAAAAACGTTTCAGTATCATGTAGAAATATGAACCTGATATGTCAAATGAAAGTTACTTTGAATTAGTCTTGTTTATTGGTGACAGCCCAAGAGTAACTGTGTCTCCAGTGCTCGTACATTAAATCTTATTTCCAGGAGGTGACACTGCCTCTGTCTTTGCCTGGTAGATTGCTCCAGCAGTTTTACTATCACATTGATTGTGATAAATTGATCATTCTTCCTTGAGTGAAAGAGTTCCCTTGAATTTTAAGCGTTAGGATGACACTTACTCAAGATACATGAGGGCTGAAGGCACGGCTGTGCTGAAGATGGTAACTCTCCATGATGCATCTCCAAGACAATAGATTTTCATCCACTGATTTTAATGTGCATGACACCTGACTTATTATTTTTATGTACTGAGACCTTTCTATATTTAGACCTCACTGTTGTGGGTATTTGAAAAGTTTTAAGAGGCTTCTATTTTAAGAACATTTGAGCTAGTTTCATATGTTAATAGTAATTCTTTTTTTTTTTTTCGGGGGGGTTAAAATGACGTTCTGAGGTTTACTGAGATTTGGCTAATAGAATCTGTATACTATACTGGAGTTGTGACATCCCAATGAAAAACTCTTGATCTATTTTACGTTTATTGGATTTGAAAAACAGCAGAAATCTTTTGCAATTCTCTAAGCTGCTGAAGTAGACATTCACACAGCAGAACAGAAAATGGGCCCAGAATGCAGAACTTGAAGAAAATTATTCAGTGTGAGCTCTTTGTTCTTTCACAGACCGATAGAGCTGGTAGTTGCAGAGCAGAGAAGACGTGCAAGTGGCATGGGTCATAGTTTATGTAAGTACCAATGCATAATAAAGCAATGATGTCCTGAAGAGGTGTACCAAGTGTCCCCAGTCCAATAGGAAGCATGTTTGCAATGGATACATGATTATTTTAGCACTAAGGAAGCATTTCATGGGCATGAGATGCTGCACGTGTATATGGGCCAAAACCATGTAAGATGTATTGCAACCCAGTTTTATCAGATCTACCACAAAAATGATAAAAAATAAAAATTGAGCCACATCCTAATCAAAATGTGTGGATAAGCCACTTGCTGAGACCAACCTTTACTGTTTTTCACTTAACAAATCTGAATGTTGGATGCTGCTGCTGATGTGGTGATATCACATCAGCACGATGTCATTTGTTCACCTTTTCAAATCTGCTGTACCCACACAATTCTCTGCCACCTATGGTTTGTTTAATTCACAGCAAGTACATGGGAGCACAGAAAAAACTTTTGCCAATTTGTATCACGGCTG